CCGTGTTCCAATTCTTCTTTAATGCATAACCTGACCATTGTCATACTTTGATTTTGAGGTGAAAGAGGGCTAATTAACTTAAACAAAGAAAAGTAAGAAAATGCCCCTACAGGTCAGTTTAATTGGTCATTTGTTTTCAAGTCTATGAACTATACCCTATATTATGGTACAACACAAACATGCAAGTACAATTTGATTTAATTTATTAAAATGCATGAACTAGCTATGAATATATAGATATTAGCATATATCGAATTTCATACATGCACTTGAAATTAATTGATGAACTGTTTTACGAGCCTCAGTCTTTACCATAGAGTTTTTGACACAATTCTATGGATAAAATTAGAGTCGCCTATACGGCATATACGTTTACATATTGGTATGCCCTAAATAACATCTTAACATAATGATACAAGTTATATAATATCCAAAGAGAAAGAAAAATAACCAGATAAGTACACCGCCCTATGCATATGTCGACATGGTATTAATTGTATGATTTATATTTTCATTTAGCATACAAGGAGAGGGGAGCTGAATATGTACAGAGCTCAATTTTCAAAAATTTCTTTTCCATTCTTACAAATATACATTTCTGAGGCCAGAGTATGTGTCACATGACAGTGAAAAAGATCATCCGACAAAAAAGTCTGTAATTATAAAATGAAATAAGAATAAAATACAAAAATGGAAGATTTTGATGTTAATATCCCAAAACAGGCACCATGTTTGAATCAAGTACATTGTACATGGATGTGTTTTCGTAAAATCAAAAATGATTACTGAAAATGAATTAATTATAAGACAACATCTCATACATAACAAGAGATTTATAGTTTGAAGACAGCCCAATGAAGAAGAAAAAGAAAAGGAAATTGTTCCTGAGGCTAAAAGACGATAAATGATATTCTAAACAAAAGACAACACACTTTCATTCCTAAGAAGATAAAAAAGCACATTTTGAAACATAGTTTGAAAGACAGTGACACAACAAAAATGATTACAGAATTTGGTCAGTGCAATAGGTCATTTTCGTAATGTAACCAAATTTAACGCGTACATCTTAAAAGTGCCTTCATACAAATTATTTCATTTACTTGTTCATTGTATTTCAAATAATTGTATTTCAACAGTCAGTATGCGAATGCATTTATTACATGTTGTTAGGTAGGGCAAGCCATTCCGTTTGTCCTATCTAGCAACAGCTTATGCATGCAATTCGCACTCTGACTATTGAAATACAATTATGCGTAACAGGTGAAAGAAATAATTTGCACAAGGCACAAAGACGTTTGCATTAAATCTGGTTACTATTACGAAAATAGCCTATTACAAGAAAACATAAAAACTATTTTTTCCCCGTATCAACAAACATGTTGGTTATTGATAACCGATTTGATCCGAATTTCATATAAAAAGACACAAATTTTCTATTTTCTTTCTCAATTTTGAAAAAAAGTCCTTTAAATATAACAAGTTAAAATATCTTAACAAAAAGTCAAGATGAAATACGAGGAGCATATTTAGTTTGTACTCGAGTTGTTGCAATATGTACTTCTTGACTTAACTCCAGATATCATCATAAATTGTTCAATTTTAAATTCAAAGTCACCAAAAACAAACATCATTACATGGCTGAAGATGCAAGAAAGTTGATTACGAATTAATTTCACTCAATTCATTATTTATATAATTATTATTCATACATAAACTACAAAAGTTCTTCAAATTGTTTAAAGAGAACACCTTATATCGGGGGTAGGAAACTCAATAAAACGAACCATACATTTACTGTAAAAATAGCCAGTCCCTAATTAACATGCAAATTATATTCATAAAGATTAATTCATGCATGCATTACCATTAATATGTTTAGAATGATATCCCAAATAACGTACAGGTATATGAATATGTAAATCTATATACAGTAAGTGGTGAATACACGCACGTATTACAACGACATATCATATATATCAATTTAATGGCTACCGTATATATCACAAACTTACATATAGGTAGAGATATAAAAATGCAACCAATCTAAAACTATTCATCGTTTCAATAAAACTGTACAATATACATGTAAACACAACCCTGAATATCTGAAAATGTTTCAAATTCAACTTTCAAATTTCTAAAATAAATTTCATGAAGATCATTAAGACAACGCTGAAATTGTCTCCTCACCATGGAATGAAAAATTGTCATCGAAAATCTAGATGAGACCATCTGCATCCAGCGAAGTCATTCAAATCAGTAAATCGAAATAAAGCAAGACAGGAAAAGCCCTCACCATAATAAAACAATATTTCATTAACATTCAAAATGATTCAAATTAATGAAACATGCAATGTGCATCCAAATAATGCCAAACCATAAATTAGTCAAGGATGATTATTATAATATTTTTTTTGGTAATGATTATCAAAATGATATGGGGGTGGGGTAGGAAAGAGGAGGAATCTTTGCCTTATATCTTAAATTCTAAACTCTTATTAAAGATAAAGAATGGCCCTATTCAAGCTTTTTCTCCTGTCTACGCTATTGCCCTTCGGATTGTAAACTATGATATAAGGTTGGTGACTGTTTTTAAAGTTTGACAGAATGGGTGCGGTCCCAATCCCCATCCCACCCCACCTCACCGCGCCCCTGTTGATTATACTATCCCACTTGCCCCAAGGGGCATGGCCGCTTCCTGAGACTTAGTAGCCATACCCTTGCTTAAGGTAAGCTCATGTAGCGCCTGCTGGGCAAGGAAGTTTTCCCTCTTGATCTGGTTCTTGACAGTGTCGGGCATGTCCGGGATGACGTACGCCACCACCATCTTCACGAAGATGATGACGTGCTGGGGATGCGGTCGTCATGGTGATCACAAGGAGTGGTCGAGAGGGGGGCGGGGCCAAAATGGTATTGGAGTATTGATGGGAAGGGGTGCAGGCATTGGGAAGGGGGTGAAGGCATTCACAAGGGAGGGGAGAGGAAAAGGACAAATCATAAAACAACATCATTAAATGATTCCGGGAATACAAGTCAAACCAATCATACAAAATGAAAATAATATAAAAACATTCAATAATGATATAAATGCAAATAATTTCAATTCATGCACGATGATGACAGTAAAATGAGTCGTTTCATTACAAATTTGCAGACAGATCATTAGTTAATGAAATAGTGTGGATGAATGTTTGAACTTCATCATCAAAATCAGATCACTTACATCCAACCCTGTATGCATGTAAACTAGCAAGATAAAATTTGAATGAAAATTGAGGGAAAAAGAACATGTTGGGGAAGCAAAAATCATCACAATATTCACTATTCACAGCTGCACGTATTTCAGACAAAAACCCTGCATTTGAAAGAAAAGATCACTTTATCTCCAAACTGTACAGACACTGCATTGAAAAGTCTTTTCGTACTTCTACACACATACATGTATCAATGTATTGATGAAAAGGGTAGACAGACTTGCTATACACTGTACTAAGCATTTTCTTCTATGAGTAAAAACTGGATAAGACTGATTAAAACACAGACATTTAGGAGAGTCGGTAAATGGGTCAGTATTTCATATTATCATAGTTATTTCATGTTCTGTTTCATATTACATGCTTATAACATGCAAAGCTAATATATAGCTATAGATACAAATTGTCTTCATTAGGTTGATAAGTCTAAGCATTAAGGTGTAAAATATGAGAGATACTAGTATTCCAAAGGCTCAAACTATTCACTTCTTTCAAAAGGTCCTAGAAAATACTCTTTTTATTTACAGTATAAAAAGTGATGAATAGAATAACAATTTCTTTTCTTCTCCAATTTGCATGTTCATGCACTCGAACATTGGGTACCTGCCATCATTTTCATAAAACTGATTTAAAACATGACATGGATAATCATGTGTGGTACAGTGATGAACGCAAGGCAGTATTTTGCATAGAAATCAAGAGGTGATGCCAAACGGTAGTCCAAAGAGATTGAAAGATTCTTAGAGAAAGTGATACGTGACCGAGACATCCTAAATAACCCAAACTGTACATGCATCATAATGGATATCTGATCAAATGATGAATCACACTGATGGGGCTAAGCTTTTTTTTCATACAAGATGATTTTCTTTTTGAATATACATGCAATTTTCAAACAGATGAGAGGCCTGCATTAATCAAATTAGCAGTAATTTAGGTATATTTGAGGCCAGGATTGCTTGACAGATTTGACGAATAGCGAAAGTGAAAGTGAGAGTGATTTTGAGCGTAAACAGGATGAGCACAAGGATATAAACTGCAAAAGAGGTCACTCATTATAAAATGGTCCATAGACTCTACAAAAATGTGAATATCGTTGAGAACAATACAACATATGACATGGAAAGAGAGTCATGAACAATACATGTACAACATTTGATTGAGAAAGTGAAACACTATTATAACAGAAAGCTTAAATATGTAACTTAGAGGGAAGCAATTAATTGTACATCCTTGTTCTAACAAAGAGATTACATATAACCTTGAACATCGATTTTACTTCTGAAAGCATTTGAAGAGAGAGCATTTTAAGGAGACTGTATTATGAAGAACAATTCAACATGGGGTTTCGTAGCAAAATGAAACTGCAAAGCGTGTATATACATGAACGAGCTTCAACGGTATTTCCGGTGTTGCGGTACGATACGAAATCGGATATTGATACGAGAATGAAAAGTGATGAAAAGTCATTGTCGATTCCCTTGCTTAAATGAGGGCACTATGTAAGATAATCTTTAGTACAATAAGGACAGAAAGATGATATAAGATAGTACAACTCATGAGGACTGTCATGGTTGATTCCCATAATAGAGGGCGCTACATAAGTTTAGCTGTATACGATAACGAAAGAGAGATAATGTAGTCTGATTTGATTTGAAATGAATGGATGCAGACGTGATGATAGCGAGGATGGCCAACATCGCCGAGCGAGGGATGATGCGTAGTCGTGGCGATGAGAGAGCCGGTCTAAGGCCCAGCGGCGCCGGCCTGCTCTACTTCCGGTCCACCCGGCGGGACCAACTTCTTGCTCTTGCCGCGTTGCTCCGTGAGGGCCGTACGCAGGGCCTGCTGGCCGAGGTAGGTCTCGCGTTTGATCTGGTTCTTGACGAACTCGGGCATGTCGGGAATGATGTATGCCACAAAGAACTTGGTGAATAGGACGAAATGCTATGCGTTGATGGAGAGAGAGGGTACAGGTGGTTATGTATATACAGATACATACAGATTAAACAGAGAGACAGTTTGAATGATAGCATTGACAGGTTGAGAGAGAGAGAGGGAGAGAGAGAGGGAGAGCGAGAGAGAGAGAGAGGGAGGGAGGGAGAGAGGGAGGGAGGGAGAAAGAGAGGAAGGGAGAGAGAGAGAGAGAGAGAGAGAGAGGGAAACAGAGTAGAGAGAGTAACCAAGAGAGTATAAATGTGAAGGCAAGAGATAATATATTACAGAAAGGCAGAGAAAAGAGATAAAAATAAATCAAAGAGAAAGGAGAAAGAAAGAAAGAGTCAACAAACAAGGAGGCAGATGGAGGGTGGAGAGATAGAAATAATTTTAAAAAAGAGAGAGATAGAGAAATAAATAAGAGGGAAAGCATAGGAGAAAGAGGGAAAGAGAAAGCATGAGAGATAGAGGGAAAGAGAAAGAGAGAAAGCATGGGAGATAGAGGGAAAGAGAAAGAGAGAAAGCATGGGAGATAGAGGGAAAGAGAAAGAGAGAAAGCATGGGAGATAGAGGGAAAGAGAAAGAGAGAAAGCATGGGAGATAGAGGGAAAGAGAAAGAGAGAAAGCATGGGAGATAGAGGGAAAGAGAAAGAGAGAAAGCATGGGAGATAGAGGGAAAGAGAAAGAGAGACAAAGAGCAAGCAAACAAGGATAGAGAAGGGAGTGTTTCAATTATTAGAGAAAAAGAGAAAAGGTGAGATAAAGTAATAAATCATATTACGAGAGAAATATATAATCAAGAGAGATAGAAAGAAGGAGTGTAGGTAGAGAAAGCAGGATGTACACACATTTGATTTTCTTAACAGAACATATAAAGATAAAATGGGAATATTGTGATGTGCCAGTGATATTTTCAGTTGAAGAAACGAATAGCTAGCAATATATTTAAAAAAATATGTATCACACAATAAAAAAATAAAAAAATGAGTATATGGCAGCATATAACACAGTGAGTTTCTATGTACTTTTTGAAAGATGCTTGACAAAAAATCCATAGGTAAACCCCATATTTCTTCACAAAATAACTGGATATTTCTTTATCTGATAATTTTATTCATCTTTTTTTTCTCAATACAATGTAAAATTCTTGCAACTCTGTAAATTTCATGATAATCTGATAAGTTTGTAAGTTAGTTACATATAGTATTTAAAGAAAGTTAGTCCAACTTTGATATAAACCTGTTTCGATTGTGTAATTACAACCCCATGCACTAATGACATGTTATTACTACGTTACTTTAGCATAAATGATTAAGTGGTTCTTAATAACAATCGTTAGTCTGTCCTGAGTATTAGACGTCGTCCTCAAGTGTTCTTGAAATTAATTACGCAATGTCAAAATAAAACATCCTGCTATATGCGATGTTGTTAGTTTCACAAGCATGGAAATGATAAATACATGAATGGATTTTTTATGAATGAAAGCAGCACAAGTTTATTAATCTTGGCTTAGCTTTGCCATGTCTGCATGCCATATATCATGATGAATATATAACAATGAAAGGAAATGTCCTTCAATATATTGCCTTATTAGAAACCACAGGCGTTTATGTGATGCTACGAAGCAGGATACCATACACATGAATGAAGATAAAGTATTATTAACGTGTTGGCTACGACCAAGTGCACATCCGGAAACATCTAAAAATGTAAATCCGGCATCTGAAAATAGATTGCGAGGTATTTATTACCGCCATTAGCGAACAATCATGGCTTAGGAAAAGAAACCACTTGCGTTGCTGCGTGCCAAGTTTTTCCAAGAAAATTTCTCCAAGTGATGGCGTTTGCAATATTTGGTATATTACTCTTGATTAACAAATATGCTTACTGTTTGTGTACTTTTACAAATGAATCGAGATAGATGGAGAATAGCAGATAACAAATTGTAAGCATATCGTAGTATAGCAGAATAGAATCTTTTAGAATCACAGGAAATTAGCGTGTCTGCAAAATCGCTGAGATATCGGAGACGCAATGCATTGTGGGAATGCATTGTGGGAATGCATTGTGGGAATGCACATTGCTATATGCGATAGTGAGAATTATAAGCATGATAGTGTTTAGAATATTAGTTACTCCCGTACATGATTTTGATAAGAAATGAGACAAAGTGAATGAATTGTACAAACATCAAACTCATGAATGCCAGGATAATGAAAAATGAGCAACATTGATGACGGTTCTGGTGAGGAAGCAATTTCCAGCTTCGGGATAATATCCAGAGTCTGAAAAAAATGGGCTATTTGGCAAACTCAAGCTGATGATGACATGCCTACTGTGTATGATCACTGCCGTTAATACATGTATGTTAAATAAATAAAACACTCCCTATTCTGGGGATCATTCTCATCAAGCCAATTTTAGCTTTCACGATTCCACACTTCCTTTTATCTTATGTTGATAATGACAAACATGTATATACTTTTGATGTTTTTTAAAAGAGAGTGAAATAGAGTGAAATAAATAAATGAAATAAAATGAAATAATCAATCCTACAGCATTAAACTCTGTATTCTGGGTTTTCATCTTGCTCTTTCCTCTGATGTTAAAGCTTATCTGCACTAGTTTGGCCAGGAGGGATTAGACCACACAGCGAGGTCACTGACGGGTGGCTATCTCATCAACTCTCAAATAACATAAGAAATAGAGGATCATGGGGGACCAACAGGCACCGATTGGGGAAGTTTTCTATAAAGAGGGAGCAAGTAGCTTCAAGTAGGACAGTGGGGCTTTAAATAGAAGATTAAACTTAATAAAACTGTTTTGTTTCTTCTTCTTCTTCAAAGCGACTTTTCACCAATATCTACCCAAACCTTCCATTGTTAGTGGTCCGTTACCAAGAAGGGGGAATTGCTAGAAAGTTTATACTTTGGGGTGGGGTGGCAATGTTGGATAAAAGTTGCTAAAAAGTTTGCCCGAATTCGCCAGCCAACCAAAAGCAAATAAATTAACCACAAATTTGCAAACACTGATTAAGGATTTGGCTACAGGAAATTGAGACACAACTCCTCAACAAACATCCCGACATGACCTGTGTTATTAGCATACACACACCAATATGAGTACTCCGTCAAACCCAATACACCAACCACCTACCAATATAAGTATTCCATAAAACCAAAGACAACAAACTGCACTAAACCATCTACAATTATCATGAAATTTTCAAAGCCGATAAATTTTAAAGCCAATAAAAATGCACCGTCCAAAAGAGGCCCTGACAGTGTACTTCTCAACTTCTAGATTATTTCCCACTCACTGCTCTTCATTTACAAAATTATCAAAAACAAAACACAACTTATCACACCCCCATGTTCAAAATGGAAGAATCTCCTCAACAGTATTATCCTGTTATAAAGTGGGTAGCTACCATTTTTGGGTGGGGATAAAATCTAGAGGTTTGAAGAAAAAAACACACACATTTCACTGCATCCCTTCAATAAGAATGGAACAGTCCTAATATTTGCTTTCATGCAATAAATGGGAAGGTACCATTTGATTTTAGGGGGTGGACTTACCTCATAGAGCAGGATAAAGGCCAGCTTAATGGCGATGACCAGCCAGTAGTCCAGGGTGACATTATAATGTTCATCGTAGTTACCACGGTATCTTTGAAAATGGAATTATTGAAGAAAAGAAAAGAAAAGCATCATTTAAACTGGAAATGTGCACATTGTATACCCTCAGTTTGAACAAACCAGTGATGAATGGATTTGGTTACTCCAGTGCTTTTCATTAATTTGTGATTTTAAACAAGAATTTGGCCAAGTTGAGGACAATTTTGATACCATTCCTCAGAATACATAATCTTTCTTCTGTACTAGTGCCTATCTCAATAACAATTTTTAATTTTACAGTCATAGGTTCTGATAGTTCTTTGTACGAATTGAAAATCTAGTGCCGTTTTCATTTGTTGCACGCTTTATTGCCACAGAGGGGGCTGATCACAAATCAACAGATATATCGGTCAAATTCATTTTGAATTGTGTACAAATAGAGTTTTTGAGTCTAGTATTAAATAAACATCTGGAATTAAACATTCAAATTAATGTGTTGATAGCCACTTTGGTTGGAGGTTCCTAATGGTCGACCTCTTCATTATATCACTGGATTCATGGACCTTCAGTTTCCTAGGTCTGCAAAAAGGAAAAACATCTTTAATCTATGCCCCTTGTTTGCCAGCAAATTCAAACTGAAGGGCTTTCTCGGTGTCCAAAGGGTCCGTCCAGAAAGTTGGGGCAATTTTAGTGACATACCAGAAATAAGAAACTATGTCTCCTATCTAGATAACAATGTTTGCTAAAATGAGTTTTGCATAAAAAGCATAGCCAACTAACTTCAGAAGTACTCAAGCTTCATGATGAATCAATATTATGGACCCAAAGTTTATGTAATGTTATATGAATATGGTGTCCATGTAACGCCGGTAAGAAGATAAATGTGTATCAAACACAGATTTTGAAGAAAAGCAACTGAAACAGAAACGATTCTAGCAGGGCACTACTATTTATATTCATTTCATAAAAATCTTCAACAAATAATTTCAACTTCCATGTGTAGTAGAAGATCTCATACCTACGTTACATGGACACCGTCATATTTTTTGCCCTATTTTTATGGAATGACCCAAAAAGAAACTGACTGAAAAGATTACCTAGACAGGGGTGATGAAGAGCACTAAAAAAAAAAAAGGGGGGGGGGTTTCCCTTCAACCACGCTCCCCTTGAGTGGAAAAAAAAGAGGATTCAGGGCGGAAAATGGCATCAAACGACATTCCGCCCTTTTGAGTAAGAAAATCTTGAAAAAATAGGAAGGAATCAAGAAAATAAGGAAAAAATCTGAAAAGAATCTGGAGAAAAGAAAAAAATAGATGGACCTTCGACCGGTGCTGTCGAAAATGATGCCTCCGCCATGGAGCAATTTTACAAATCAAAACAGAAGCGAGGAATTTTTGCATACATGACCCAAGTTTGGCGGGAATCCATCAATGGGTTCTTGAGATAAAGCGATCACGAGCTATTTTTGAATACATAGTGAGCCCTGTGACCTTTGACCTTGGATCTCGTGATCCTAGAATCGAATCAGGTCATTGGCTCTGCAAGATACATATATGACCCAAGTTTGGCAGGAATTCGTCAATTGGTTCTTGAGATAACGCGATCACGAGAACGGGACGTACATACGTACGTACATACAGACGGACGGACAACCTGAAAACATAATGCCTCCGGCTAATTTGTAGCGGAGGCATAAAAAAAAGGATTCGGGAGGAAAAAATGGCATCAAACAACATTCCGCCCTTTTGAGTAAGAAAATCTGGAAAAAAAAGGGAAGAATCAAGAAAATCAGGGAAAAATCTGGAGAAAAAAATAAAAAATTGGGATGCCGATTTAAAGAGAAGGTTGAGTTCTGGGAAGAGGTGAAAAATTATTAGTGAGCGTTATCATTCTTATTATGCAAGTGTGAAAGAATATCACATAAGACATGTTCCCTGAAAAGCATGGCTCTTCAAATGCCTTCATATTCTAACTATGTCATGTAACATCGTAAAACTCCAGGGTAGGATTTTTATGCCACGTGTTTGTGTAGTCCCATATACATCTTTCTGTGTACAGTGTTTGTAAGTTTACCAAGACTTGGCCAAATTTCTTATCATTTTGATGATTCCAGAACCTTGCAATACACACAAATTCTTACATGCTAGATGATCAACCTTGTCTGGTCGATTCCACACCGTTTCTTTCACAATGCAATCGCATGACCAGAACTCAACTTCATCTTTAAATCAGGTTTTTATCAGGCCTGCCAGAGGAAGACTGACCTGCATACGGATACGTTCAATCCATAGTTGGGGTCCGTGGTGTCCTCATCACCAACCCTGGGGTAACTCGGATCTGTGGGCTTAGAATCATTCTGCATGTCCACGGTGTTGAAGTAGGAGAGCGACCAGTTGGTATAGCCGTTGAGCGTTGCCTCGGGTCCTCCGTAGTAATACTTAAAGACTTGACGCGGGATGAACTCGGACGTGAAGGCAATGACAAGGGCCTGTCGTGGAGATGAACAAAATTAATTTATTTATTGATATATTAATTAATATAATATTAAAGCCCCACCGCACTAGTTTGGCCAGGAGGATTAGACTCCCTGCATGGTTACTGACAGGTGGTTATCTCATCAATCAGCTCTCAATTAACATAAGAAAAAGGGGATCATGGGGGACCAACGGGTACCGCGTAGGCATTGTTTGCTATATAGAGGGCGCAAGTAGCTATAAGTAGTGCACCGTTTAGTTGAGGTGAGATAAACTTGGAAGTGAAAAGTATAATAAGGGCCTGTTATTAAAAGAGAGAGATAGACATAATAATAGTATTGGATATTTATATAGCGCACATATCCACCCTGCAAGGTGCTCAAGGCGCTCCAATATTACCCTGGCTCTGCTAGGCTAACGATTTTGGTGCTCACAGCATTTAAGGAATTCCTTCCCAACCGATACCAATTTCACATCTGGGTGGAGAGCGGCAAATGTAGATTAATGTCTTGCTAAAGGCCATTAGTGCTATGGCGGAACTCGAACTACGTACCCTGTGATCCACTAGACCACAACACTTCTACACATAGAATATTAAGAGAGACAGAGAAAGAGAGAGAGAGAGACAAAGACATAAACAGGTTGTCTTTATGAAAAAGGAGAGAGAGAGAGACAAAGACATAAACAGGTTGTCTTTATGAAAAAGGAGAGAGAGAGAGACAAAGACATAAACAGGTTGTCTTTATGAAAAAGGAGAGAGAGAGAGAGACAAAGACATAAACAGGTTATCTTTATGAAAAAGGTGAGAAAGGTGTTTTCAAGGGAACAGAAAATGTGGTCTTTACAGACAGGTGGTTACTAGTATAAAGCTTAGCTGGTTTCAATACACAGTGAAACCTGTCTATAAAGACTACCCAAGGGAGACAAGAAAAGTGGTTTTTATAGGCAGGCTGTCTTTGTCGACAGGTGGTCACTTAAGCAGGTTTGACTATACTTACATTGGTTAAGACAGACAGGTTTCCAACGGTGACTAGGATTGCATACCAAGCACCTATAAATGAGACAAATTTGTGAGATAAACATATTAGCCGCTTCTAATAATTGGATTGTATTTACATGAATTGAATTTATGTTGTGTGGTAGTAGTTTACAACTGGGCCCCATTTCACAAAACTTGTCATCAGTGACAAATGACAATTTTCGTTATAAGCTAGTGAAATCCTTGCTTCTGAATGGTTATCAGAAGATTTTTCACTGATTTTTGTCATGTGTCACTGAAAAAAGGCTTTGTGAAATGGGTCCCAGGTCTAACACAAGCATAATAGCAATCTTCTTTGTTTGATGTACTTTATATTATCTAGTTATACTGTATTTTACAACTGTTCTTACACTACCACTTCAGCACTTGACACCTTACCATTTCATCTCTTCGCGACTGGTCAGAGCAAAGCTCCCTTTTACAAATTAAACACTAGCATATTACCGAAACCCCTTCTTACCGAAATCCTGGGCCCTCTTGGCGACTGGTCGTCGGAGCTGAGAGATATTTGTAGGCATCGAGACGGACCTCAACGAGGTTGTTAGAAAGAGCGAAGAGAGAGACTTCTCTTTTACAATAAATTAAACACCAACACATTTACTGAAACCCCTTCTTATCGATATCCTGTGCCCTCTTGGCGACTGGTCGTCGGAGCCGAGAGATGAATTTGTAGGTATCGAGATGAACCTCAACGAGGTTATTAAAAAGAGCGAAGAGAGAAGCTCTCTTTTACAACAAATTAAACACCAACACATTTACTGAAACCCCTTCTTATTGATATCCTGGGCCCTCTTGGCGACTTGTCGTCGGAGCTGAGAGATGAATTTGTAGGCATCGAGACGAACCTTAACCCTATTTTAACTGGGCTATTTCAGACCAGGTTTTTACTGGGGGGGGGGGGGGGTCAATTTGACCCCCCCTTAAGATCTCGGCCGTTTAACGGCCGATCGCCGCGAAAATTTGTATACATGTCAAGTGAAGTGTATAGAATACTATGGTAATTTCAATTTTTTGAAAAATTCACTCATTTACATATTTATGGTAATTTATGCAAACAAGGTCATAAAATTCACATTTTTGCCCATAAATCATACATTATTGATATTTAAGGATCCTTTTTCTCTACATATATTTGTTAGACCGTTTGAAATAATAATACAACACAAAAAATTAGAAGAGCCAGGTTATTCCTTATGTTATCTCTTGTTTTGATAATTTCTTATGTATTTCATTGTTTTTTCAACTTATGTATTTCATGGTTTTTGTTGTTTTATTTGATTTATAACTACAATTCAACTATTTTGACCCCAAAACAAACACCCAAACTTTAAACAAGACCAAATAACCAATGTTTTATCTCTTTTCAGGAAAAATGACATTTCCATATGTTTTGTACACAAATCACAAAAATGAGCGATTTTCGGGCTGACATGCATCAACAAAATGTCACGTGACTCCGTAACTATACGTCCGATTTTCGAAAAAATTGTTTTAAAAGATGCGTAAGACTCGAAAGAAAAAAGTCATGAAAGGAAAATTTTATATCTGCCGCGGTTTTGGAGAAGTCGCGAAATTTCTACAGGGGGGGGGGGTCAAATTGACCCCCCCCCCCCCCCCAGTTAACGTAGGGTTAAGAAAGTTATTAAAAAGAGCGAAGGGAGGAGCTCTCTTTTACAACAAATAAAAATTACTGAAACCCCTTCTTACCGATATCCTGGGCTCTCTTGGCGACTGGTCGTCGGAGCTGAGAGATGAATTTGTAGGCATCGAGACGGACCTCAACGAGATTGTTCAGAAGAGCGAAGAGAGGAGCCAGAGGGAAAGCAGCCACAAAGATGGTGGAGAAACCAAACTGAACGACTGAAAAAGAGAAGAGGAATAATAAAAGGATGATAACTTGTACTTTCAATTTTGGGAATACATGTATCAATGTGAGTGGGATTTAGAACTAAAGAAATTTAGGATTTTTATTACTTGCAAGCTCTACAGGAAAATTGATTTCATTCAAAAGAAGAAGAAGAAGATATTGCATTGGGGATGGGGGGGGGGGGGGGGGGGGTGAGAAACCATTTTGAAGGGAACCCCAAAATGAGGTCTTTGTAGACAGGTGATCACTGTTCACAATGGGTACCTGGTAGGATGTGAAAGTTCATGTGGTTGGACAAGCAAGTGTGCGCTTGCAAAATGGCGACTGGCTGGAATGCTCCCCAGGGAGTGGAAAATGTGCATACATTGTGCGCGGGTAAGCCTGAATCCAATGACCGGGGTATTAACATCTCTGTAAAGTGCTTAGGCACATCGTTGGATCGATGTATTGAGCGCTATATAAACACAGAATATTATTATTATTACTATCACTAAAGCAGGTTTGACTGTATCAGACCAATAAAATCGATCCTAATCCAAAAATTGCAAGAGAGACCTAAGAGAAAGAACTTACCCATCTCGAGGTATTCCTTGAAGAGCCCTCGTGGTCCAAGATCGGCCAGGTCAGCGTCCTGTTCCCACTGCTCATAACGTCCCTTGCCGCTCTTCTCCTCCTTGCGACCGGTACGAGAACGCCAGAAGTTCATCAGGACACTGGAAGGGGAGAGATAATGAGAAACAGCCCATGTGATGTGAGTGAATGAAGAAGGGGTTTATTGTCCAGTATTCAAACCAGGGCCCCGTCTTACAAAGAGTTACAATTGATCTGAATCAATCGTTAGTCTTCTTATCAATCGCAAGTTTGCAGTTGGACTATCTCCTATGTACATAGTTGCGATTAATATCCTCTCTTTGTAAGACAGGCCCCAGTTGATGTAAACATCATCTCAGGGGGTTTTTCACAAAGACTAATATCAACTTTAAGTTGGACTAACTATGGCAAGCCGTTCATGCCACTGTTTGCTCTCAACATTATGATCTTTAGATTTTTTCCTTCAATAATGAATTATCAAAAAATGTAAATTCTGTAGATTTGTGACGATTTATACATCACTTGAGAGACTAATGCCAGTAAATGATAAGACCAAACAATGGCATGAATGGCCTGCCATAGTTAAGTCCAACTTAAAGTCGATATTAGTCTTTGTGAAACACCCCCCTGGGTAAAGTTAGAGTCCCTGGCGGATTTGTCTCCTCCTCAAGACCGGTGAACGAACGCTAGAAATTCATCAGGATACTACAAAAGGAATTCAAGTATCCAATGAAACAGCCCGGAAACTACCACATGTGCTATTTTCTAGTCCCACTAACCAACTTTTAGCACATGTATTTATCCTGTAACATTTTCGATATATATTGTAAAGGGATGCTACATGTATGTATACAAGTTGTAGCAGGGTTGGCCGAGACGTAATGTGTTCATCATTCTTTGAAAAATTACTAATATTATTTAATCGATATATAACTTAAAGCAATTAACAAAATAGATTATGTTTAATCTTTATGGTTTTATGTGATATCTTTGGTCAATAAAATACATGACGAAAACTCGTCGTTTAAAATTGAAACCCCCATTTGACTTTCACCATTTCTACTTGTACTAGAGCTGAGATTGTGATAAGCCCTAAGTAAACACTAGCGCTGTAATCCACCCCCACCGAGACCTTGATGAGGTGATAGCGAGAGAGAGATAAGCATGATACAGGGGGAAAGGAAGGGAAAAGGGAGAAAGAGACACATGCAGGGGTTCGCTGCCAGAGTTAAAATTGTTGTTATATCGCCAATTATGGGTCATTTTGCTTCGTTCGAACTTTCATTTTGGTCTTCATCTAAATTATTAGTGACTTTAGGACATAAAAATATCTTAAAACAAGTAAAATACTTATTTCCTACTTCTCATTTCCTTTCAGGCAGACCCCAGTAAGAGTTTGTTTACACTAGTATTACGTAAGATGATGTAGAGTCCAGCTGCAATCCAATATCTTAATCTCTCTGTCCAAGTTTTTAACGAGAGAATTGAAAGTGGGGTAGTGAGACCCCATCAGATTCCCATTGGTGCCTGTGTAATAGTAGTAGCTCTCTCAAAGTTTTAACGAGAGAAACGAAACTGGGGTATTGCTACCCCACCAGATTACAAAGTTTTAACGAGAGAAACGAATCTGGGGTAGTGCTACCCCACCAGATTACATTGACTGCTGTGCTATAGTGGTGGGGTATAGTTTTAACGAGAGCTTTTCGTAATGACTCCAGCCAACTTATTACTCACTGAAGTATAAGAACAGAGCGCCCAAAATCGTTAAAAACTAGATGGAATTCGACTGCGCGCAGTCGAAAAATGATGCCTCTGTCATAGAGCAATTTTACAAACCAAAACAGAAGAAATTTTTAAAATTCAAGTTCAATTGTAATCCATTGACAGGTTCTCAGAATATCGTGATTACAAGCAATTTCTCACATATATGACCCTTTGATCTTTGACTTCATGACCCTAAAATCTACTCAGTTCTTTGGCTCTGCAAGATGTCCTGAGTTAAATAGTAATCCATCTGTCAGTTCTAATGAGAATGTGTTCACAAGCTATTTTTGCATACATAATGAGCCCATGATCTTTGACCTTTGACCTTATGAACCAAGAATTTACTCAGTTCATTGGCCTTGCAAGTAACATACATGACCTAATTTTGGCAGGAATCCATCAATCAGTTCTTGAGATAACGCGATCACAAGCTGTTATTGCATACATAATGTGTGCTGTGGCCTTTGACCTTTGACCTCATGACCACTAAATCTAATCAGTTCATTGGCTCTGCAAGTAACATACATGACCTAAGTTTGGCAGCAATCCATCAATCGGTTCTTGAGATAACGTGATCACAAGCTGTTTATGCATACATAATGAGCCCTGTGACCTTTGACCTTTAACCTCATGACCCCAAAATCTAATCAGTTCATTGGCTCTGCAAGATACATACATGACCAAAGTTTGGCAGGAATCCATCAATCGGTTCTTCAGATAACGCGATCACGAGCTGTTTTTGCATACCTAATGAGCCCTGTGACCTTTGACCTTTGACCTCGTGACCCCAAATCTAATCAGTTCATCAGCTCTGCAAGATACATACATGACCAAAGTTTGGCAGCAATCCATCAATCGGTTCTTGAGATAACGCGATCACAAGCTGTTTATGCATACATAATGAGCCCTGTGACCTTTGACCTTTAACCTCATGACCCTAAAATCTAATCAGTTCATTAGCTCTGCAAGATACATACATGACCAAAGTTTGGCAGGAATCCATCAATCGGTTCTTCAGATAACGCGATCACGAGCTGTTTTTGCATACCTAATGAGCCCTGTGACCTTTGACCTTTGACCTCGTGACCCCAAAATCTAATCAGTTCATCGGCTCTGCAAGATACATACATGACCAAAGTTTGGCAAGAATCCATCAATCGGTTCTTCAGATAACGCGATCACAAGAACGGGACGTACGTACGTACGGACGGACAACCCGAAAACATAATGCCTCCGGCTACTTCGTAACGGAGGCATAAAAATACTTGTTAAAGCCTGTCTGCACTAGTTTGGCAAGGAGGGATTAGACCTCCCTGCAAGGTCACTGACAGGTGGTTATCTCATCAAATCAGCTCTCAATTAACATAAGAAAACTAGAGGGAACTTCGACTGCGCGCAGTCGAAAATGATGCCTCCGTCATAGAGCAATTTTACAAACCAAAACAGAAGAAATTTTTCGAATTCAAGTTCAATTGTAATCCATTAACAGGTTTTCAGAATATTGTGATTACAAGCTATTTTTGCATACATAATGAGCCCATGACCTTTGACCTTGTGACCCCTACATCTAATCAGTTCATCGGCTCTGCAAGTAACATACATGACCTAAGTTTGGCAGCAATCCATCAATCGGTTCTTCAGATAACGCGATCACAAGCTCGTTTTGCATACATAATGAGCCCTGTGGCCTTTGACCTTTGACCTCGTGACCTCAAAATCTAATCAGTTTTTTGGCTTTGCAAGTAACATACATGACCTAAGTTTGGCAGCAATCCATCAATCGGTTCTTCAGATAATGCGATCACGAGCTCGTTTTGCATACATAATGAGCCCTGTGACCTTTGACCTTTGACCTCGTGACCCCAAAATCTAATCAGTTCATCGGCTCTACAAGATACATACATGACCAAAGTTTGGCAGGAATCCATCAACCAGTTCTTCAGATAACGCGATCACGAGCTCGTTTTGCATACATAATGAGCCCTGTGACCTTTGACCTTTGACCTGGTAACCCCAAAATCTAATCAGTTCATCGGCTCTACAAGATACATACATGACCAAAGTTTGGCAGGAATCCATCAACCAGTTCTTCAGATAACGCGATCACGAGAACGGGACGTACGTACGTACAGACGTACGTACGTACGGACGTACGGACGGACGGACAACCCGAAAACATAATGCCTCCGGCTACTTCGTAACGGAGGCATAAAAAGGGATCATGGGGGACCAACGGGTATCACTTAGGTATTGTTTGCCAAATATAGAGGGCGCAAGTAGCTACAAGTAGTGCGGTGGGGCTTTAATAGAAAATAAGAACTGAAGAACTGACAACTTACGGCATAGCCAGCTCCATGAAGTTGTTGAAGAATTGCTTTCCGCACATAGTGATAGCAATATTAATGAAGAGTTCTTGCATACATCCAGCAGGGTCACACTAAGAACAGACACAGAAAGATAATAAAATATAGTCAATTATTATTATTAAAGGGAAAATCCAACCCAATTAGACAACTGCTCTAAAAGAAAGCAGAAAAATCAGAGAGTTGCAATTAAATCTTACGTAATATAAGAAAGTTATTCATTTTTGAAAGTTAAAATCACTATACAAAAATTTAATGAGGGCTTGTAACAGTATCTCGACAAGTATGTGTTTAAAGGTAAAGACCAGTTATGGTCATGCGATTGCATTGTGAAAGAAACGTTGTGGAATCGATCAGAAAAGGTTGATCATCTAGCATCTAGCATCTGCAAGGTTCTGGAATCATCAAAATGATAAGAAATTTTGCCCATTCTTCGTAAAGTTACAAGCACTATACACAGAAAGATGTATATGGGACTACCCTATATCTCTCACAGACCATGAGAGAAACAAATTTACCAAATATATGAATTAGTAGGCAGTTTCCCGGCAAATTTTTTATCATCATGTATTAGTCAAAACATATTCTTTCACATGATTGGTAATGAGAGCTTCAATTTCATTTTTTGAAATTGGGGCGTTTCCAATACTGGTCTTTACCTTTAATCATTACTTCATCTGTTGTATGGGAAAGAACCATATATTTCTTGTTATCAATCTTTAAAAATAAAAATCCTCACCTCTTCCTGACGCCATATTCCGAAAACACGTCCATAGTCAGCTGGGGTACCGGGTAGGCTGTTACAAAAAGAACAGATTAAGTTTATGAAATTCAAATTAGCTTTAAAAATGTCTCATGCTTGTAAAGTAATGTATTTATCTACCCACATGTAAGACAAGTTGCATTATAAAAATAAATTTTATTTCAATGCTTAAAGGCATCGTTTATTAATGTTAAATCTGAGATGCATGGCCATACGTGTTATCAGTGTCTTTGATATGGTGTAAAATTGAAGCCCTACAAAAATTGCGCTTCAAAAAGATCATGAAGTGCCTCAAAAAAGTAAAAATCTTTGAGTGACCGGTTTTACCATACTCATTTTACGCATTAGACTGTAGTGTTATAAAAAAACATTTGAGAAATGAAATTTTGATTTCCAATCATAAATATCTTGATAATCAGACAGGCAATGCTTGACCTTTAACCTAGTTAATGACGATGCTTACCGGCCCTTGAAGAAAGCAATGTAAAAACTGGTAGAGTAGTAATTGACGAATGCAAAGAGGTACATCTTGAAGGTGAAGCTGTCTTCGTACTCTGTCTCAGTACGGTGCAACTCTGTGGTCAAAGAGATGATCATTTGTACGTCAACATTTCGGACATTGCTTAGCGCAAGACAACAGAATAACCCCCGCCTCCTATTAAAGTATTACGTGATCAATATGTTCAGTTTATAAAATTTAGGAGAATCTACTTTTTTTCCATTCTGAGTATAGCAAATTAATTCCATTTGAACTTTTTATAACATTTTCTAATCTTTTGCAATTCAATAATTTCTGATCCTATCATTTCCACTGTTATGAATGAAACGCATACAACATGCAAAGAGATTGTAACATGCATGTAATGTAATATGCCGAGTCTAATGGGTGTTAACTCAAATCATTATTTTCCACTGAAAACTACATACATGTACATAAATCAATGACATATTACAGTCCAACCTGCTTTAACCACCACCTGTATAGAAAGACCACCCGTCTATAAAGGCCATATTTTTTGTTTCCCTTAATTACGGTTTCTCAATGAAACATGTACAAAAGGAACCTGTTCTGTTTATAAAGACCAATTTTCTTGCCTCCCTTGGGTGGTCATTATAGACAGATTTCACTGTACTTTTGTTAATATAAGTGGCGGGATCATAAAGTGCACCAAAAGGTTGCTGGAAATAACCCCCCTTTGGGAAATGATAGAAGTGAACGTTCAGCTGGCAATATCACATGGTCCACGTATAAACCCAAATCTACAATAAATAATCATTACATTTGTGAGAAAGGAACTTACCTAGATTAGTCAGCCAAACTGCAATACGCTCGTACAGCTGTAAAGGAAAACGGAGTAGAGACGATTAAGGGTACATAATTACACCATTTAAAGCTCCTCCAAAGTGTTGGGAGCCACAAATTCGCCACAAAGTTTATGGCAAAGAGGATGTCATTTAAGACACACTTCTGCAAAGATTTCCCCTCACGGATTGTGTTTGAAGAAAAATATTGATAAGTGAATACATAATTTGTGTTTCCAGGGGGGTGTTTCACAAAGATCCTAAGTAGAACTTAACACTAAGTTGGACTTAAAAATTATGGACAGCCATTGGAGCCTTAAAATGAAATATATTCAAAAGCAGAAATTCAAGTATTTTAGACTTTTTATAAATTCCACATCAAGAACATAGAATCTCCCATGATAATAGAAAATATGAATGATTTGAATCAACATTTTATGTCTTTTAAAATAACTTTTACAAAATGTTTTCGAGGATGCTAATGGCTTTCCATAATTTTTAAGTCCAACTTAGAGATAAGTTCAACTTAGGATCTTTGTGAAACACCCCCCTGGGAGTATTAGGGAAAAGTTTCCCGACGTCAAGGCACCAGTGATGACTACAATTTGGATCAAAAGCAACTCTTTATAAGACGGGGCCATAGCTACTGTAGGAGTGTTGGGCGCCCCCCCCCCCAAAAAAAAAAAAACAATGGAGTGAAGTGTGCAATGCTTTTTTTTGTTTTGTTTTGGAGTCCTTCAGTGCGAAAATTTAATCACGCGAAAAAAACAGCATTTATAGTATTCTATAGTTTTTCTGGAATTTCAGTCAGACTCACTATCTGCAGGATCATGATGAGGATGAGCGAGATCATGGAAGCCGTAACCGAGGTGATGATGGAGGCATACGAAGAGATGAATTCCTGATCGATGGCGAAGATGGCCGTCTTGACGACGATCCTGTAGACGATGACGGTCATCACGGCGGCCATAACAAGCAGAATCTAGGAGGATCGTGGGAGGAAACGGTCAAGAGACCACAAAAGAAGTCAGGCTTTGCTTTGGATTATTACCGGTACTGCACTACGTTCTACTCTTGAGAGCAAGAAGCACATACACTTGCATCATTCAAAATTGATTTATGCCCTTCTCCTTCTCACTAGATTTGAATTCCTTTGTTCTACTAAAAATTGGGCTTAAAGACCATCTGTACTAGTTTACAGGAGGGATTAGACCACACTGCAAGGTCACTGGACAGGTGGTTATCTCATCAACTCAGTTCTCAATTAACATAAGAAAAAGAGGATCATGGGGGACCAATGGTCACCGTTTAGGCATTGTTTGTTATAAAGAGGGCGCAAGTAGCTGCAAGTAGTGCAGTGGGCCTTTAAAGCTTGTGTTCAGAATCCGGTTAAAAAAAGTAAGTTAGTGAGAAGTCTAACTTTTCCTATTAGGTTTAACTGAGTGGGTACAATATTGACCTTGGAGTTTAAAGGCCCACTGTCCTACTTGTAGCTACTTGCGCCCTCTATATAACAAACAATGCCTAATCGGTGACCATTGGTCCCCCATGATCCTCTTTTTCTTATGTTAACTGAGAGCTGAGTTGATGAGATTACCACCTGTCCAGTGACCTTGCAGGGCGATCTTATCCCTCCTGTAAACTATGGCAGATAAGCTTTAAAGTAATAGGTCTCATGGCCTAGTAAAAAGTCTAAAATTCAATATGAAAACTGTCAGGAGGTTTTAAACTGACTTGACTATGTTTATGTTGACTTTTTTGTTCAAACTAAAATACATACAAAATTGATGTATCATTGATCTTATTTTAACTCCCTGTTGCAAATTGATTTCAATGATAAGAATTCAAATCTTTGGCAGATTATCCATTTATCAATCTGTTATGTGCAGTCAGTTTTGCGTGCTATATATTTTTTTCATTTTCTTAATATTTTTTTTTATGTATTTCTGCACTGGCAAAATTTGCCATAACTTGTAAAATGCACTTTGAATCAAAATCAGCAAATGCTAATATGCTTTTTGAAAATAGTGCTAAAAAATGACATGCAATAACACACATATTATCATTCATACAAGCAGTGCATAGTTTTCGTTTCAATAAAATTGCAAATAATTTCAAGAAATTTACACTCCGTGCTGGAGGGGCCTTTAGTTCGATGTATTTTTAAGGTAAATAGATGCATTCATTTTGTGATGCAATATCTTTTATACATACATATATTGCTATACCAATAGTGGTAAGAGTAATTATATTATCTCTCAAACATAATAGTTATAATAACAATAATGATGATTATCAGAGGCTGTTTCTGTGTATATAGTGCTAGTCCCTCTCTAATATATAGTTTCAGCAAATTAAATACAGTAAGACCTATTTTTCCTTGTCCTGGCCTTTACGGTTTGGGCCTTGACTATAACTCCATAGACTACATTCATGACTATATCAAAATGTTACATACATGTAGCAACTTCAAGTTTTTGTTTTGAATAAAACATATGTATTGGGGAAGGGCGAGTCGGGGAGAATTCACAGTGTATTATAAAGGAGTATTAGGGGAAACTTCCCTAATTTCAGGGCACCAGTAATGACTACAATACTATTATACAAATATGGAGAAAACATCAACCATTTGCAAATATCCTATTCATGCATTGTTGCTACAAATTTGAGCCCATTCTGGCATGTAAATATGTTCCTGAAATTTTCCAATCATATGATTAACTGTGTTTTCCCTCATAGTTTTACTAACATCCCTGCTTCTATATTAGAGTGGTTTCAGAACTTCTGAAAAGCTCAACATTAAAAAAAAACTTTAAATCCCTTTAAAGTAATTTCAAGGTATTTGCAAATGGTCGACACAATCTTTTACTAGAAAATTAGATCATTTTGAATCGATCACAATGACAAAGGGAGTGTATAGGAAATCACAGTTACAAGGATAAAGAGTAAAATAGACTTTTAAAAGCATTAGAGATCTACTTGTAAGAACAGTGCTTGCATGTCATAGTCATTTGACGTCTTCTTTCTTAAAATGTAGTATGCTTGCGATTTTGGGTTCAGTTTTGGCTTTTGTAAGACATCATACAAGTAAATTTTCAATTTAGAGACGGCAAAATTAATTCTCCTTCTTATTCTGACCAAACTTTAAAAATTTGTAAGCAGCATACAGACAGTTCTTACAGAGATCTCTACTGCTTTTTGTTTTCTATACTTGTCAAAATCAATATTGAAATAAAATCACACACTCTAAAGTTGTTAAACATGTTATACAATCACAAATTATACAATTACTGGTAAAAAATTAATAAACACCAAAATAAATGTTATATAGTTTTTTATAAGAAATAGGATTAAGTATGATGAGAAAGAAGATATTATACTCCATTTAAACCCAGCAAATATCATTCCAGAAAAACGATACAAATATTGATATACGTTTATACAACAAGACTTACAATCCCCAAAATATGTGTTAATGAAGTTTACGAGCTTCCCAATAATTACATTTTAGCTATGAATTTTTGTTTTACAATAAATTATAAGACAATTTGCAAGAGTGTGATAATGGGAAGGAAGGTATATGGATTTATATACACAGTCAACGTTAAATAAAGCTAAAATACTGCAAAAGCAAATCTTCTGAGCAGTGTACCTGCTTATTCTTTTAGTTGCTCATGCCTGTACTTAAAAATAATTCCATTTTCCCATTTTTATTGTAAAATTGCACCCATTTCATACATAATTTAGAGGTATATTTTGACCAGTTTACCAGTTTCTTGAGCCCCAAAGCATTGTAAATTAAAGCATTTTAGAAAGGATTTCATATAATGTTCAGTATTTAAATATGGTGACTTATAGAGAATATTCAGAAGGGTAGGAGAAAACTTGTTAATGATAGGAAATATATGAAATGGCTGAAATCATCAAATATTTTAAGGCTTTTAATATTACTGACTTCACTACCAAATTGATCTGAAAAGAGCTTCAATATAAATCATTATAAAATAAAAATCTTGTGAATTTACAAAATTTATGTGAGGCTGCATGACTACATCAAACAGCTACAGCACCACATCTGTATATTCCCTAATAAATTCAGAATACACTTAAAATGTACAATGGCAAGAATATATCATATGTTGACATCAATACAATCTTAGAAGTTTTCTACAATAATAGAAAAAGGCATTCAGATAAATCTACACACAAGCATTGAAGCTCCATACAAATCTGATATACATACAAGTGCTTGTGCACAAATTACATGTACAATGAAAGAAAACCTAAGATGTTGCACAAATTTAGCTGATAAAGAAAACAAATTTACAGTTCAATCATAGAAAAATTGGATACAATTAAAGTTGATAGATAATAAATAAAGCTTATAAATTGAGCTTTTATTTAAGTAGCTCATTTTTCGGGCTCCCAACATTTAAGAGCCTAGAGGGGCTTAAGAGTTGAATAGTCAAGTAGGATATTAATAGTAGATACCTACAGTTAAAAACTAAATTATTCATACCATTACAAAATTGTGTAATTTCTGTGAAGTATTTGAAAAAATGATTTGTCCCGATTTATGTTTCAAGAGAATGTAACATTCAAGATTACATCAAAAAGTATTCAATAAAGGCCCTAATTCAACCAGTCCACCTTTCATTCTTGACTTTCCAAAACACAAAAATATAAAATTTACAAAGGGGGTATGAATAACTTAACTGTAAACTGTATTAGTAACCATACTCAAAACCAACCCATGACTTGCCATGCACTCTGAATATGCACTGAGATTGTAACTCTTGGGGATTTTTTCTTCTATTTTTTTTAATGAAAGCCCTGCTTTTATTTGCTATTCAAAAGAAATTTCTGGCAAATTTGCTGAGGCATTTCATTCTTTTCAACAACAAATAAGCAGAGGATTGTTTGAAGTTTACTGGAGCTAGACAGGTTGCTCTATCAAGCATTTGTTTCATGAGGCAGCCCTCGAGTCATTGGTCACTGTTACGGGTAGATTTATGGGTAGATTTACGGGTAGATTTACAGGTAGATTAACGGGTAGATTTACAGATAGATTTTACGGGTAGATTTACAGGCAGATTTACATATAGATTTACAGGTAGATTGACGGATAGATTTACGGCTAGATTGACAGATAGATTTACGGGCAGATTTACAGGTAGATTTACAGATAGATTTTATGGGTAGATTTACAGGCAGATTTACAGATAGATTTACAGGTAGATTGACGGATAGATTGACGGATAGATTTACGGGTAGATTGACAGATAGATTTACGGGTAGATTTACAGGTAGATTTACAGGTAGATTTACTGACACATCTTCAGGCAGGTAGGTTTTGAACATATGGGACACTTAAAGAGAAGGTCGAGTTCTGGTCATGCGATTGCATTGTGAAAGAAACAGCATGGAATCGATCAGAAAAAGTTGATCATGTTGCATGTAAATAGTGGTGTGTACTGAAAGGTTCTGGAATCATAAAAATGATAAGAGATTTGGCTCAGTCTTGGTAAAAGTAACAAGCACTGTACACAGAAAGATTTATCTTGGACTACAAAAACAAGTGGCATAAAAATGTGTATTTCTTTGATGTTCTTCCACACTTGCATAATAACAATCAAAACGTGCACAAATTATGTTACACCTCTCCCCAGAACTCAACCTTCTCTTTAAGCCTCTACTGTACTCTGTTATCAATATCTACATTACACTCTACATTTCATTTCTTTGGATCCATAAGGACATTAAAGATGAAGTTGAGTTCTGGTCATGCGATTGCATCAGAAAGAAACGGTGTGGAACCGACCAGAAAAGGTTGATCATCTAGCATATAAGAATTTGTGTGTATTGCACGGTTCTGGAATCATCAAAATGATAAGAAATTTGGCCAAGTCTTGGTAAAGTTAAAAACACTGAACACAGAAAGATGTATATGGGACTACATGAACACGTGGCGTAAATATCCAACCCCCCCCCCCCCCCCCCGAGTTTTACGATGTTACATGACATATTTAGAATATGAAGGCATTTGAAGAGCCATGCTTTTCAGGAAACGTGTCTTATCTGATGTTCTTCCACACTTGCATAATAAGTGATAACGCTCACAAATTATTTTTCACCTCTCCCCAGAACTCAACCTTCTCTTTAAGCCTCTACTGTACTGTGTTATAAATATCTACATTACACTCTACATTTCATTTGCTTGGGGCCATAAGGACATTAAAGGTACTGTGTTCCTTTTGCAGCCAACCTCAAATTCTGTAGAACTTTGCAGGAATAATGAATATATCACGTATGTCCTATCTGTGAAATTTAAACGTTAGCAGTGTCCTAATATTCAAATTATACAAGGAAACCCGTTTACTTGCCAGACTTCAATGTCAGACACTATTGAGTGATTGACTGGCTTTTTTTCTTCTTTGGTAATAACATACATAAAATGAGCTGTAAAGGGTACTTTAGCATTTGTCTACATTAATAACCCACTTCTTGTGATGGCCAAAATTAAACTGATTGAATCTTTGCGCAGCATAAAACGTATGACCATTCGGTACAATGGTCTGAAAATCAAGACTTTTACTTATTGGCTCTATAACTCCTAAGTCGATTTGACAACTAATAGTCGTTATTTCCCCAATTGAAGACATTTTCAAGCCCCACCTTTTTTAGGGAAGTTCTAAATTAGTATCATCTTTCAAATGCCGTTGGAATTTAACCTTTTTATTTTTTGGGCTTGCAAATGGGACATAGTACCCTTAACAGACCTTGTAACTCCAAACAGATGATTCGATACACACACTTGTGCTTCATCCTACCATGAATAAAATAAGCGCTACTCCACCGACAAGGCGGGGGAATCGCACTTTCAGGGGAACAAACGGCTCCTCTCGCTACAGGGGTCAAGGGTTATGGCAGGGGTCAAGGGTTACAGCAGAGGTCAGGGGGTAAAGGTTAGCCAGAGGGGACAATGAGGGGGCGTGTTTGTTACCCATGCAAAGCCAAAAGAGGTGTCAGTTGAAACGAGAGAGAAAATTGTTTGGGTGTTACCGGAAGTTTGGATAAGCCATCATCATGCACATGCATCAGGATGTTGGTTAGAGGTCACCGGGTTGCCCAAGGTTAGAGGTCATCCACAGGTCGAAGGTCATCCAGGATCCAAGTGTTTTAGTTGCCACATGCATGGATGGTTTATGAGGCATGTATCAATGGCATGGAAAACACACATTGGACATGTCATGGAGGTTTGTGAGAACATGAGAGTCACAATGCATGTGAAATGAACGAAAACAAATCCCAATTTTGATATTTAATAACAAGCATTTTTTATTTCAAAGTTAAGTTGTTGGCATTGAATTTATATGAAAATTTCAATGATTTTTGTAATAAATATGGAATAAATATTTTGATAAATGTATACATGAAGATTTAGTTCCATGAATTTTGCAAAATGTTTATATTAGCAAGAAATCATTTTCAAGGGATATAATAATAGTTATTATTTTTGTTAATATTTTATGCCATGTTTAGGAAGAAAAAGAATATAACAATTCAGAAGGAAAGTTTGCCCGAATCCATTAGGATGAAAATATAAGGAATTGATACAAGGCCAGTACAATTAGACATTAATGAAATGTCATGTATTTGACAGAAATGCATCACAAGAGACAAAGGTGTAATGTCACAAGGTGAGTGAATTTGGAAGGAAAAGAGAGAAAAACCAAAAGGTTAGCTTCAAAAACACCAAGAGATTGAACCCCTAGAGCAAACCCATTCACAAGGAGAACGAAAGGGCATTAATAGAGTCATCAGCTAAGAGGAAAAGTCAGTGAAAGTTGGTGAAAATTTCAATATCCTTGGTTAAAATAACGGTTAAACACATGCAGGAGATGAAAATGAGAATTGGAAATAAAAAGAAAAAGTGAAAGTTCATAGGGTGTAAAACTTGGGCGTGGGCAGACGAAGGGTGTACCAGTGGAAGGTGGTATTCGGTACATGCATATCATTAGACAATACTTAGTTAGTAGAGAAGATAAGCCATACATACAGAGTAAAAACTTGTTCAAGTAATGAAATACACTAATCAGATAACAAGATGCAAGTATAGTAGTGTAAAAGTTTTTTAAGGCGAGTACAAAGCCATACATGAGGATGATACAAGCAAGGAGACGAGCTTTGTGTGGAGGTTAGTCGAGAAGAAGTTACACTTTAGGTTTCGAGGCGACACACTTGAACACACACAAAAACAGGTGGTAAAGAAGAAGGTGCTGCTATGTCGGGGAGCACCAGCTTATAATCTCTCACCATGAATGCAATTGTAAGAACGGACGTCGAAAATCGAGGGAAGCGCTTGGAGAACTTCATGTACTTCTCGGGAAGCTAAACAGAATCGTCAAATGCACAACAATAGAAAAACACATGCATACAGGTTATGTTTTGTACTATCATGATGCTATCTAGAGATTTTGTCCCATAATGCAACGGAGCATCGTTGCAAAGGAAAAGCACTGAATTGGCTTTTGGGGGATTTTTTTTTCTCGTCTTGATTTGTTGTCAAGTCTCACCATGAAGAAAATGGATGCAATAGATGCCGAGAATCTCGGGAACTTTCTCGAGAACTTCATGTAAGGCTCGGTCAGCTGAGGGCGCCAAATATCAATTCACACGTCATGCAGTCAATCAGCGTATGTTAAAAAAAGTGTGATAGAATCGAGAAAACGTGAGCATGAGCCATGAATACATTTGACAAATATATGAATAAACATCATATAGGACATTCAAAGTGTATGAATATTCATGAGTACAGTATGACTGTTCACCAATGGGTGGCAGCAGTGGGATAGCTCATGAATATTAGAAATGAACTCATGAATAGACATGTTTTCATACAATGACACTGACAATGTATGAATATTCATGATTCTCTTTGAAAATCTGTTAGACAAGCAATGCATTGTAATCGATAAACACACAAACGATCAAGATTACAAGACATTAAGAAGCAAGAACAAAATGAATATTCATGATCTTGGTGTCCAGGATATCTGTAAAATGGTCCAATCAGATCATCAGGTTCATGTTTCATGTTCTCCAAGCGACTTTAAAGTGTGATATAAAATGCACAATCCATGATTAGTTAATAATTCATCAACAAGATCATGGCATATTCCACTCGGGGTTGCAAAATGCTGTTGCCTGCAAAAGAAAAGTACAAATAGTTAGTCATGCCAAAATGGGGATGCTTTCTAGTAATATTTAAAATCTTTAAAAAATTGAAGCAAATAATAAGAACAAATAGATTATTGTCATACTATTCTGATTTCAATGAAATTTTGTGCCATTTTAACAATTTCCCACAATGGATTGTTGTGTCTTTACTGAAAAGCAGTAATTCTTTATTTTGTGACACTTGAAAACACTCGAAAATAATACATTTTGCTTTTGATAATCCCCCCAAAACTTGGAACTCAAACTTCCTTTAGTTATTCTTTAGCATTCACACATGGAACTGGCAAGGGGTAATCAGGGTTTTTGAGCACATCAAGAAATGTCCAAAGTCCAAAGACTTGGGGTGATCTCAACGCTTCTCACCAGGAAGAAAACGGACATGACAGAAGCCCAGAGACGTGGGACCTTCTTCCTAGGCTTGATGTACGACTCACGGTTCTTCAAGGTCAAAGGTTAAAGGTTAAGGTGAAAACAAAATGAGTTCAGATATGACTGTGTAATGTTGAATGTCGGGTGCTTTTGAATGTTTGAAATGGATAAATGGCGCCATACAAGTGCTGTGGATCATCATCATCATCATTTCAATCAAGGACGCAGGTTCGAAACTGAGACACATCTTTCGGATGGTGACGTTTAAGGTCGGGCCCCAGACATAATCATATGTGATTGATACACGTCTGTACAAACCCAATTACACACACACACACATCATCATCATCATCATGTTATGTGAAGAATACAAGTTCACCAAGGATGGAGAGAACTGGTTTAAAGAAGAGAGCCATGTTCTGTTCTGGCAGTTCCATCTCCAAACATCCCAAGATTCTGAAAATAACATTCAACTTTAGCAAACAAGGAAGAGACCCACAAGAGGAGAAGTTGAAGCCGGCCGTCTAGAGGATGTTGAAGGTCCATATGACTTCAGGGACCCGTTTCACAAAGCCTTTTTTCAATGACAAATGACAAAAATCAGTGACAAATCTGCTGATGACCAATCAGAAGCAAGGATTTCAGTAGCTTATAACAAAAACTGTCATCTGTCACCGGTGACAAGTTTTGTGAAACGCCACCCTGTTCTCCATCTCAGCAAGGTCGTCTTGACCAAGGACCAGACATTGTAAAGGAATTAAATGGTTAAATGTTGATCCAACTGGTATATTCTTCAAGATGTAAAGCCTCCCTTTACACTCCTACTGCCTTGAAACACAAATCATAAACTGTAAGGGAAACAACTGCAGGATAACTGGAAGAAGTGCCCACAAAATAAAAACACATTCAGGTATTTTTAAACAAAGCAAAGTAAAGAAAAACATAATTGTATAATTTTTGTCCATCATATGCATTTGAAAAACTTGAATGCAAAACAGTAGCCTCATATACTTTCGAATATTCTGATTATTTTCACAATATTTGCTAATAAACTTCTGATACTATCTTAGTTTCTTTCTTATAACTGAGAATTATTTGACGCATCTAGGAATGCACTTGAATTTAAATCAAATAAATGAATGACCTTTGTGTTTGCATAAAAACTCTTCAGATACACTTACAAAACAGCTCATAAAAATATATGAAAGTAAAATCCCATACATAATTTTTTTGGTTTCCTTTAACAAATGTATTTTGGGATGAGCTTGGGCACAAATATCTTTGGTAACCCCTCAAAATAAAAATTGCAAATGCTTATATCACTTCATTGAGAACGACCCAATAATTTTTGTTTTTTTGTTAATATGTCTTTGTGCACACGTCTCCGGGACTGTCCAAATGTTATATATGTTTGTGACTGGCACAGTATATTGTCCAAATAAGAATTAGGAATGTGCGTCCAGTTTCCAGATTTCATAACTAGTCCCACGTTTCAATGCTTTTATTAGGGAGTGGTGTTTCCATCACCTCCTTGAGGTCTGTTCCCAAAACACATTTAAGGCATTGTCAATGATTTAAACACATAGTTTGAATGACTTACGTTGGTGATGGGACTGACTCTCCTGTCTGGGGCCTTGGCCTCGAACTCGGGACGAATGTTCTCCTAAAAGTGTCAAGAAAGAGAAAACGAGAGATCATTCATGTCATTATTACATATGTATTTGGCGACGCTCTGTCTAGTAGGGGACCTTCCATTCAATTTGAAATTTCAATTGATTTATGTTTCCAACAAAATATTACAAATCAATTATAATCATATTGGAAGTGAATGCTAAGTCACTATGAACATGACTATCATCTTGCCATTAATTTGAAATGGGTCTTAAGACTGCAAAACAAAGGTCATGGGGGCATAATTCATAAAACTTAATCATTCCATGAGTAAATTTTCGAGAGAAATTGGGAAATGAGGAATACAAACATGTAATAGTATATTTGTAAAGCGCTTAGAGACATTTGAATTAAGCGCTATATAAAAATTAAATATTATTATTATTATTAATAAGAAGAACTTGAAAAAAGAGAGATGGTGTTCATAGATCGCTAAAAGATAAAGTAGCTACAATTAAGACCAAGGAAACTATCTAATGCATTTACATAATCTAGAAGTATTTGGGGGAGAAATTAAGAAATACAGTCAACTTGTCTAAAGCGACCGCCCAAGGGAAACACAAAAAGTGGTCTTTATAGACAGGTTCCTTTTAATAGTACATGTTTCAATGAGAAACCATTTTCAAGGGAAACAAAAAATGTGGTCCTTGTAGACAGGTGGTCTTTAATAATAATAATAATAATATGTCTTGTTTACACAGGGTAGCCTCATCAGAATCCAATGGCTTCTATTGGTAAATCAATAATGATAAATCAAAACCGACTTTAGCAACTGTCCACCAAAAAAAGTATATTCTAATTTATACTGTTCTCCCTGAGGGCCCTGCAATCATATTTGTCTTTGTAGTCAGGTGGTCACTAAAGCAGGTTTGACTGTATATCAAACCTAAGAATAAATGACGAGGATAAAAGGAGCCGAAATGAGGAAAGATGAAAGCATACCTCCTGTTCTTCAAAGCCAAACAAGTCCCAGTCGTAGTCAATCGTGTTCTGCCTTCTTTTCCAGAATTCGCAGAACATGGTGGCTAGAAAGAAAAAGGAAGAAATAGATTTAAGCAACATTCCTTATTAGACAGAGAACAACAAATCGTTTTTAAATTGCATAATTAATAAGATGAATCACGACTTACACCAGAGATGCCAACCTTCTTCAACAAAAAAAGTATTCTTAAGAGCAAAAAACAGTATTTTTTTAAAATCTCTCAACTTAGCATATCGTTCCATCGAGCAGCTTAAAAAACCATGCAGTACCACGTATACGTACCCGGATAGGAGCGCGACGTGCATACATTACACGTGGGTTGTTCGCAATGTGCACAGTTTGGGGCCCGTATCACCATCCTGCGTGCAACTTTTTAAGATGTAGGTGCATAATACACTTACGACACAAAGCCCATTATCAGAAATTAAGAAAAACATCACTAAAAAAAAAAAAAAATTAAATTTAAAAAATTTAAAAAACGTAACAAAACATACAAAAAACGTACTGCCGTATTCATAGCGAAAAAACGGAACAAATACGGCAAAAACGGAACAGTTGGCATCTCTGTTACACCCCCCCCCCCCATGTTATAGTATTACAGTGTTAGGGTATTACAGAGCACAGATTTCACTATTCTTGTGGAACTCTCCTTTCCTACGCTAATGAACAACAATAGCACAACAAATTTAGCAGTGTGGCTAGACTAATATTTTTAAAACACTAGGGAAAAAATTGCCATTTTTGAAAAATGCCAATTATTCAATAGTTACATTGTTATTTTGATGTAATCACTGGATACAGACTTTCACATGAGGCCCGACCTACTTGTTTTGTCTCCAAATACTTTCATTCATGTACACGTTTTGATTTTTTTTTCTTCAGCTTTTGTTCTTCTTGTGTTCTCCGCTCATGTTATTCTCATGTTATATATTGATATCACTTTGTAACTTTTATATGTGTGTTTACCTTTGTATATTTCTAAAGAAAGTATTGAATAAATAAAATTGTACTTGAACTCAAAGCCCGACTACACTAGTTTGGCCATGGGGAATGAGACCTCCCTGCAAGGTCACTGGAAGGTGGTTATCTCATCAGCTCTCAATTAACATAAGAAAAAGAGGATCATGGGGGGACCAACAGGCACCCATTAGGCATGGTTTGCTATATAGAGGGCACAAGTAGCTATAAGAAGTGCGGTGGGGATTTAATGGAAAATAAAATGTGAAGGGACTTACCCCAGAGGGACATGAAGCAGGCAAAGAAGACGGTCGCTTCATTATCAAACAGGTACGTCAACTGTGAAGAGTAATAATGGTAATATATATTTATATGGCTCTGAATCCACCTGAAATCAAATTCTCAAGGCACACTTTTGAAACAAAAATAGAGATCACTTAAACGCATCTGAAGAAGGAGGAGAAGAAAAAGAAGAAGAGGAAGAGGAAGAGGAAGAGGAAGAGGAAGAGGAAGAGGAAGAGGAAGAGGGAGAGGGAGAGGGAGAGGGAGAGGGAGAGGAAGAGGGAGAGGGAGAGGAAGAGGGAGAGGGAGAGGGAGAGGGAGAGGGAGAGGGAGAGGGAGAGGGAGAGGAAGAGGGAGAGGGAGAGGGAGAGGGAGAGGGAGAGGAAGAGGAAGAGGGAGAGGGAGAGGGAGAGGGAGAGGAAGAGGAAGAGGAAGAGGAAGAGGAAGAGGAAGAGGAAGAGGAAGAAGAAGAGGGAGAGGGAGAGGGAGAGGAAGAGAAAGAAAAGGAAGAAGAAGAGGAAGAGAAAAAAAAGGAAGAAGAAGAAGAAGAAGAAGAAGAAGAAGAAGAAGAAGAGGAAGAGGAAGAGAAATTAAAGGAAGAAGAAGAAGAAGAAGAAGAAGAAGAAGAAGAAGAAGAAGAAGAAGAAGAAAAAGAAGAAGAAGAAGAAGAAGAAGAAAAAGAAGAAGAGGAGGAAGAAAAAGAAGAAGAGGAAGAAGAAGATTTGAGGGAAACAAGGGTCTCACCTTCGAGTAGAAACAACTGTCAGATAGCGTCCAGTACGGGCATCGTTTGTCACACAGAGGACACATGATGATATCGGTTCCGGCGCAGATCTCTTGCCTAAAAACAATAAAATCAAAACAAAATTGATTAACAAAGTGCTTCTTCCTGGCGATAACATCATTGAATGCAAGTATTATCCTTGCTTTAAAGATGCTACACATAGTACACATCGTATACAAGAAAACTTCATAGAATATGGGACAGAGAGTTGTGGCATTCCATGGCCACCAACGTCTCAGGACATGGCACGAAAGGAAGAAGAAGACACATTGACTTGATAAGGAGCTTTAAGTATTCATGGAATTAGTTCACACAAGGTATTCATTTACTTTACCTGGGTGGAGAGTGGCAAATGTAGATTGCCAAAAGATGTCATAGCAGGGATTTGAACCCTACACTATGTGGTCAATAGTCCAGCAATTCAGCCATTTAGACCACATTACTTCTACAACTCTACTGCATGACAAGGAAAGTGATGGAAACAGAAAAAGGACAGAGATGCACATGGTTCAAAAGAAGAAGAAGAATGAGAATATAAAAAAAAGGAGGAGAAGAAGAATGAGGAGGAGAAGGAAGAAGAAGACAAATACAATAAAGAGGAAAATAGAAGAAGGAGAAGAAGAAGGAGGAGATGAAAGAGAAGAAAAAGAAGAAGAAGAAGAAGAAGAAGGAGAAGAAAAAGAAGAAGACAAAAAAGAGGGAGAAGAAGAAGAAGCAGAAGGAAGAGGAGGTGAAAGAGAAGAAAAAGAAAAAGAAAAAGAAGAAAAAGAAAAAGAAGAAGAAGAAGATGAAAAAGAAAAGAATCCTCCCCTCCCCCCCCCCCCAAAAAAAAAAAGCAGGATAAGTAAGTAAAACAAATCAAGTTTTTGACTTACACAACCACACTGCTGGGTAGAGAGATACATCCATAGAGAAAGACAATCAGACCTACAAAGCCTGCCCATGTCAGCATCTCAGTGTAGAATCCCAGCCAACAGAAGTAGATACCAATCTTCTCACCAAAGTAGCGCCTGTGAACAGAAGCAGATATAATAGTTATAGTAATTTATACAACACCTACGTGGATCTTTGTCATTTGATTGGAGGATTGTTGGTCACATGGTATTCAATAGATGTTCTATTGCACGAGCGTGCATTTTTGGTTATATGCAGACTGCGTACCTCTCTAAAGTGCGCGTATCCCATAGTTATATTAGCTGCGTGCGCGTGTATCTGACGCGAAGGCATCTGAATGTAATCGAGAAGGCTTGACTCCCACTTTAATTTATCTTTAATATAAGGAGTAAAGCATAATTTGTTGATTTACGTTCTGTTACATCTTCTTTGATGTTGTTTAAAACAAATAATGAATGTGTTTCAATCGTTCAATAGTGTGAATATTTTCATTCGTTGACAGATTAACGTTAATTCTATTCAACTCTGCTGACGCTTCATTAAATAGAATGTTAGTCTTTCAACTCATGAAAATATTTGCATTATTGAACTCATAACCATTCATTATTTGTATATTATAAGACGATGAAGCGGATGTGCATGAACAAAAAATAAGAAGATTATTTCAACATACTGCTATATTTCAATTGCTAATGCTATCAAGTATCAATCTTTGACAATAGACTAAACACAAAATTATGTACCTAACCCTAAACCTAATCAAAAACCCGACTGCAACCAAAAAACCTACATGTACGTTAACTCTAGAACTTGAGATGTAAATAAAGTTGAAAGCAAACATCAGGGCCCCATTTCACCAAACTTGTCATCAGTGACAAATGACAGTTTTAGTTACAAGCTACTGAAATCCTTGCTTCTGATTGGTTATCAGAAGATTTGTCACTGATTTTTGTCATTTGTCATTGAAAAAAGGCTTTGTGAAACCAATGGGTGGCAGCGGTGGGATAGTTCATGAATATTACATCAGGACCCTTTTTCACAAAACTTGTCATCAGTGACAAATGACAATTTCTGTTATATGCTAATGAAATCCTTGCTTCTGATTGGATATCCGCGAATTTGTCACTGATCTTTGTAATTTGTCATTGAAAAAAGGCTTTGTGAAACCAATGGGTGGCAGCGGTGGGATAGTTCATGAATATTACAAATGAACTTATGAAACGGTCCCCAGACAACCAAAGAAGACATCAAGTGCTGTGGATCATCATCATCATCATCAACTCTACATCTTTAGATAAATAAATTTGAAAGCAAACATCAGACGACCAAAGAAGGCATTAGTTTTATCCTCACCTGATCAGATCGAGGGGTTGCTTCTTGTACCATCTTCCTGGCCTTGCCCACTCTTCGTACAGCAGCTACAGAATACAAGAGAACGGGAAAACAATGTCAAAACAATCTAGCATTATCATGTAGAGGTGTCGTGGTCCAGTGGATATGTCACTAGACTGTGGATTAAAGAGGTTCATGGTTCGAGTCCAACTGCAGCACTAATGTCCTTTGGCAAGATATTAATCATAAGTACAAGTTCACCCTCATTCCATTGGAATTTGTGTTAAACTTTATATACATTTTTCAATGGGATGTCGGTGAAGTTGTTCTTATGACGGTCTCGTGGAACGCTGCCCTGGCCTCTCACACTGAGCTGTTGCTGTATTACAACATACATGTACATTCCTGTACGTACCATGGTTATGTCATGCATAAATACAGTCCATAACTCACCAACTCTTAGATACAAATGCAGTTAGAGTAATTAATCCTGTTACAAAAAGTTATTACTTTACAATAGAACCTGGTAGCAACAATTATTCCCAAATGGGATTCCCTCTACATACAGTTATTAACTAAATTATTCATACCCCTTGTAAATTTGACGTTTTCCTGTTGTTTTTTTTATCTAAAAAATGAACGGTGGACTGTTTAAATTAGGGCCTTTCTTGAATACTTTGATATGTAACCTTTAATATGTCACATTCTTAAGAAACATAAATAGGTAAAATCAATTTTTCACATACTTTAAATAAATGACAAAACTTGGTAAGGGTATGAATAATTAGGTGTTAACTGTATTCAGTATGTGCCTTACACACTATGAACATGACGGACAAAGAAAGCGGACAAAATATACAGTTCCTCATTCTACCCTCAACAATTGCTGTGGTAGACAAAGGAACATCCCTTCACTGCTATTATTTAAACATGTGTAGAACAGGTGAATATGCATGTGACATCTGTTCTACACATTTTTAAATAATAGCAGTGAGGGGACGTTGCTTTGTCTACCACAGCATTTGTTGAGGGTAGAATGAGGAACTGTATATTTTGTCCGCTTTCTTTGTCCGTCATGTTCATAGTGACAGTAAAGCACAATTTGATTTCTAAAAGAAAGTTGTCAAGTTTCATATATTCAGTCGTGACATCAAGCAGTCTTCATGTACTAGCCATGTGTCTCTTCAAAAGGGAGCAGAAAGTGAACCAACTTTTGTATTCAGGATTGAACAGGAAACAGAGCAAATGGTCCTGTTACACAATATGATGGACTAGATTTTCTTGCGAAAATACGACCATGTCCCTAAATGTAGAAGCCTGTGCAGCGGCTTATGTAAATTTGAAAACCAATACTCTGAAATTTCTATTCTCATCGATGAAGGAAGATTATTCCATAGCTTTTCCCTGGTACATACTTTTAAGTGTTGACTACCATTTTGGGGTAAAGTTTTTTTCTCCACGAAAATGGTATTTCATGTACGCATAGTTCACTTTAAAAGTACACCCCTTGGCACTTTTCTTCCGAATACTGCGCCCTATCTAAAGATCATGCACGGGAAGTTGCCATTACTCAGGGGGAAAAATTTCTGAAAAGGTTAAATAGAAACTTAAGTATCTAAGGTAGACTCCATGATTCAGAGGGCCAGTCTTATAAGGTATGACAGAAAGATGGATATTCATGGACCCACTTCTACTATTACTGTATATAGTGTGGTACAGTATGTCACTGAAACAGCTCCCGTAGGACTTGTGTGCCAATTTTATTTTTTGTGTGTGCATTTTTGGATTCATTGGGGTCCAAGCTATCAGAAAATGATGAGGTTCAAATTTTCCTGAAGACACCAAATTGCCCTATTGCCCTTTATATAAGTCATTTTGGCGCCCAATATGGACCCCCCAGGAAATGAAGGAGGGGTCTGAAAATTTGAAGGAAAAAAAAAAAAAATTGGCACAAAAAATCCTATGGGATTACATACCATACCGCACTAATAGTACCAGTAACTCATTCGGATATGAGTGCAATTTTTACAGCCATTGACATGCTATCAGGGTATGAGGACTGCATCCAGAAGCGCATAGAACATGCAGGAGAGCTCAGAAAATGGTAGTTTTATCCATTCCAAAGAGACAGCTGTAAGAATGCTGATATTGGAAATAAATCTTTGTATTTGGGTGGGCTATACACCTGTACATGGTTTCCCAGTGTATCAAAAGTGTATATATTTAATATCATCATGAGCCCCATTTTTTTTTCTTTTTGTAACATTTAATACAGAGGAAAGAGTTCATGCTAAATGCATTATTCATATCTGAAATTCCATCATTGTAGATGTTTTGCATGCTTAAACATAATCAATGTATTCAACTACTGTGACAACTACAATGACTATTTCTACTACTACTGCTGCTACTGCTACTACTACTATTTCTACTACTACTACTACTGCTACTACTACGTCTACTACTTCTACTACGTTTACTACTACTTATATTACTACTACTACTTCAACTACTGCTACTACTACTACTACTACTACTACTACTACTACTACTACTACTACTGCCACTTCCACTACTACTACATCTACTATCACATGCAATATGACTACTTCTGTCATAAATGTAGAATCCAATAACTGCTGTTGATACATAGAAATAGTGAAAAATATTACTGCAGTATTAATACTTGTACATGCAGTCCCATTCATCTTTAGTTTCATTACAAGATAAAATAATGAAAATTGGACATGAATAAGTAACTGGAATGGAGTCACATTATTAACTGCTGTAGTATGTACATGTAAATTCATTTACAAATGTAATATAGGTAGTTAGTTTCTACATGTACATGTAGGTGTACATGTATGTAGAATGTCAATGAACAATGTCAGATCAAGTTTGGGTGAATAAAGAACATGAATATGATCTCTTTCAGTGTGTTATGGTCAATATGAATTGAATGGTCTGGGGGGTGTTTCACAAAGATTCTAAGTCAAACTTAACTCTAAGTTGGACTTAAATATTATGGAGAGCCATTTGTAGCATTATAATGAAATACATTCAAAAGCAAAATTCAAGTATTTTAGACTTTTCATAACATCCACATCAAGAACATGAAATCTCCCAATATAATATAAAATATGAATGATTTGAATCAACATTTTATACTTTTAAAATAATTTTTTACAAAATATTTTCAATGATGCTAATGGCTTTCTATAATTGTTAAGTCCAACTTAGAGATAAGTTCAACTTAGGATCTTTGTGAAACACCCCCCTGGTGTTAAACCTAATAGAGCTATAAATCATTATCTTTTACGACTAAAAGTACATTACATCCTTTGGTTCCAACAAACCTAGTTGTGGTATGTACATTCGTGTACATGTGTTGGTAATTAATTTCTAGGTGTAAGAGTGAAAGTACCGCCTCGAATCAAAGAGACTAGGTACAATGAACATTAAAATGATCCATTCCAGGATGTAACGTTAAATGCCAGATGGATGGTCTGTTGTTTAACACAATATAACAAAACAAAAAACATTATCTTTTGAGACTGAAAGTACATTACATCCTTTGACCTAGCTGCATGCAGACAGGAAATCCTATTCCTTCTCAAATCAAGGACTTATAATATTGAGGGATCAGTGACACAAAGACGTAACTCCATTTTGACCATTTTGAGAAAAAGTGGTTAAAGTGTCACTGAGCACTTGGGCCTTAAGGAGTTAAGTCTAAGTTTCACTAGCCATTGACATCAATGGGGTGTTGGGTGGAGTTAAACTTTGTGTTTCCTGGAAAGCCCACATTTTTCTGAACATTTTGATATCAAATACTCATTTTGGCAAAATATGGAGTTACCTCTTTTTGTCACTGAACCCTTGATATGTTAAGCCTTTATAAGTACTCCCAATCTGAAAAAAATTCACCACACTCTCTCTTTATTTACACAGATTTCAGCTGGTTAAGAAGAAAAAAATGGTTGGCTTCATACTATGTCTAAATCAAAATCTCATTTATAAAATTACCCTTTACATATACAAAATGAAAATCACATCTCACATTTGCTAAAAACACACGTTTGTGGAATAGGGTCCTTTTACCTTTAAAACTCTACTAAATGTATGAATCTTTCTTTGCCCAGTGCTTTGCACGTACATCAGTTGCAAATGTAGTCTAATACAACTGTCAAACATTTGCAGAAAACTGTTGATTTACATGTACATATAGCGCATCACATAATGACTTATGTGAACAACACAATTACATCTTATCACCCATCTCCATGATCTTATCATCTGAAAATAACTTCTATAGATGAGACACTAAGGCATTCCAATTGCCAGATAAAACTTTAATCACACTACACGATGATGTACCTGACGCCCAAATCAAATCAATTCATAGTTTACAAATGTCCCCCAACCAAACTTAATCCTGTGAATGAATAAATGTAGGTTAACTATCACAGGTGTCATATTAATTGCATGCAATAGTTGGAATTAGAAATCAAAATCAAAATAATAAAATGAAATGAAAGATAAATATCATAATTTCCCCCCTTTTCTCCCACTTAGGTAGATGAACCTAAATTTTGTACTTGACTTATGATGAACTTAAGGGTTGTGTATCAAGTTGTTATCAATTTATTACCTTTTTGTCAAATTTGTGGCAAAAATAGTAATAGAGATGAAATCAGTCACAAAAGATTTTACTTTATGAAATTACTAAATACATGTATCTATTTTTTTAACTGTAGACCTTCATTTTATTTGCGGCTATTAAATAAGTATGACTATGACTATGACATGGAATGAAATGCCTTGGCTAAATAGATGTTCCTCTTTTAACTTTTGTTTTGAATAACCTTGTTTCTGAAAATAAAAGGGAAGGACAAATATCTGAACCCAACATACGTGAACATGTATGTCCTACATATATACCTTACCCAACTTAATAAAAAGTACATCACTTGGAACAATAAATGAGTGAGATAGTTTGAACTTAAATGGTCGTTAAATGAAAGTTAAAAAGAGAAATCATAATGAATCGGAGTTGACTGAGTCAGTTGAGTTTTGAGGTGTAGATAATTAAACCATGAGCATGTCGATCCACTGGCATTAATCCGTCCGCATGCAAAGGTCAAAGGTCGGCAAATACTTACATTTCTAAAATTGGGTCGTGCCCAAGCTGGAAGCTGCTCATTTGCATAATTTATGCAAGTATGAATTTGAGCCACAAAAACAAATTATTCATCACATTCAGAACTAGACATTATATGATGAAGGTACAATGTACTCTAATCAAAAAAAGTGAAGAAAGTACAATACAGTATGAGGGCCTCTTTTTGATGCACAGGGGAAAAAAAGGTGCATACATGTACATGTATATGTGTGTAGTTTACGCCTTGAGTGAAACACTTTCACATCGTGAAAAAGCAAAGAAAAAGCAAAAAAGAAAATATAATTACATTTTTCGGGCAGGGTTTGCTGCATACAGGGCAGGGGTAAAATTTATTACCAAATATTTAAATCTGTATCATGCACTGATTATGTTTTTGCTCATTTTGGGGTTGATTCAACGGTAAAGCATACTTGCTGTAAGTATATCTCTATAGCTCTTCTTTGACAGAGGGTATATCATCTTTTCGAAGAAGAGCTAGAAATCTGAAGGATATTTTCTCCAGATATTTGAACGGCATGAAACAGTTTGGAGAGGGATATCCGAACCATTTCATTAAACAATCTCAAGTAATCCTTGAAAATATGACACAGCCTTCAAAAGCATGATTTATTTTTGTTGGGGTGGATATTGGAGTAACTACCTGTGACAACTAAAAAAATCTGACTAAAATAATGTGAAAAGGAAATGAGTCAAATCCCAAAATTGCATTTGCTAACCACAAAAGCATTGCAACATATGGAGCAAGATGAAACCAATTTTTTGTACAAACAAGTTCTCGTGGCTATGTGACATTGACATTTCTCAGTACTTTTTGAAAACATGAAGTACAAATCAGCTACTACAGTAGCCATTAGATTTATCCAGTTATGAGGGCAAAACATCTATTTTCACGGCTGTTTGGAAAAGGGGCTACACAAAAAAAGGAGGAGGGGGGGGGGGGGGTTGATGCTATCTTAATGCCGTAATTTTTATCCTGCTGCATACTTAGTCTAATATAGATCAAACTGATTTTCAAGGAAAATGCAAGGAAAAATCACACCAAACCAAAATAATAAGATAAAAAAAATAATTTCTATAATTGCATATTTGTCATTCTGTTTATCTTTAAGGGGTGGGATTGGAGTTGATTTCTAAAACTCTATCTAATACAATCAAATGAAAATGTGGCAATGCAGTATGGACGGATGACATAAGGACAAACCCAACCAGGGGAGTGCTTCACAAAGTCTAAGATCAATTTAAGTTGGACTTGAACTATGGCAGGCCTTTCATGCCAATAATTTTGGTTCAAGACTTTTTAAGGTCATAAGTCCAAGTCTTAAATATAACTTAAGTTTACAATAGAAGTAACTTTTTTCTTCAACAATGAACTATCAAGATTTGTGACATCCCTTGAGAGACCAATGGTGAGAGCAACCGGTGGCAAGAATGGCCTGCCATAGTTCAGGTCCAACTTATAAGTCGATCTTAGTCTTTGTGAAACATCCTCCTGAGTTCCTAAATGGTCAGGCTGATGATTGTGGTACTTACATGTCTATCGTTCTGAGGGCCATGGGTCAGAAGGGAGTGCTTGCTCTTGTAATCTCCCTCGTGAAGTGGGTAGGCAGCGAAGTAGGATCCGTTAGCGATCAGGTGATCGATTCCTAGAAACATGGAAAGAAAGGGACAAGATTGTGGTTTAGAAGCGATGAGAGCTTCTAAATGTAGAATTTTCCTAAATTCCTGATTAAAAAAAAAAAAAAAAAACATTTGAAGATTTGAAGCAATGATATAATAATCATATCCCTCATGGAGTGGGTAAGCAGTGTAGTAGATGCTTTTATGTGATCTCATTTTGGTTTTTATTTCACAAGTGCACCTTAAGTATTTGATTTCAAGCGAATTTAGCGTCTTCCAAATCATACATTATTATTATTATTACATTATACCATTTAAGAAGACAGCAAAGTGTCCGTCCATGTTTACTATTCACCATGTAATGATGTTTTCATGTATATGTATGTCTTTATATGTATTTTAATGTTATGCAGGGCCCCCTATATAACAGTATTTTAACTACTGATGGGGCTACCCCGTTGAAATAAAACAAAATAAATAAAATGCTTACCAAACTTGGCTGGATCATTTGCATCGTAGCGCATCCTCTCTAAGATCTCGTACACCTGGAAATTATCATAGGAAAAAGGGGAATACGGAAGAGAATTAGACTTGAAAAAAAAATGTACGACAGCTTGAATGAGTGAAGCTCTCCATTCAGCAATCAATCGGGACAATTTTTTTTTTTTTTTTTTTGAACTGCTTGTATTCATAGTCCTCTTACAACACATTTATAGGTCCAACAAAGTATCTCCACCAAAAGGCAACAGAACATTCCCAAAGTTGTTATTGTTGTTCAATTTCTGATGTTATGATTATCTGTTTGCCAAGAAAATGTTAATTTTGGTATTTTTAAAAAGAGAGTAACTCCAACGTAAATATTGGAACAGGAAAGTTTCGGAGTATCAAATGTCATTGGCTAGATCAGCTAGATCGGGGCTAAGTGCCAGAAGGGCGTTAATTCCTATACTGTATATAAAGACAGAAGGAAGACAAGACAATTGAGTAGTCTTACCACACGGTTGCGGATGTTGTTGGGGAAGAAGGTATCCTGGCTCTCCATGATGAATCTGTGTAAGACAGAAGAATGGGGAATATAGATAATTTTGCTGTACTTTTTAGTTACCATCTTCCTTTGCTCTTACTTTCAACACCTCTCCCCCCCCCCCCCCCTTATCGTAAATAGCCCTCTTTGCTATCTTTCTCTCTTTCTTTCTTTCTTTCTTTCTTTCTTAACTTTCTTAACCTTCTTTCTTAACTTTCTTTCTTTCTTTCTCTCGCTCTCTCTCTTTCTTTCTTTCTCTCTCTCTCCCCACCTTCTCAATTCGCTCACCCACTCTCTATTTCTAGTTGTATCTTCTCTATCTCACCCCCCCCCCTCTCTCTCCCCCTCTCTATCTCTCTCTCTTCCTCCCTCCCTTCTTCTTAGTTTTATCTCCTCCCCCCCCCCCTTTCTTCTAAAGTGTGACTCTCTCTCTCTCTCTCTCTCTCTCTCTCTTTATATATATATATATAAAAATCAATCTCCATAACCTTCTTCAGTCTCTCCTTACTACCCCTATCTCTCTACCGACAATCTGCCTACGCGTATCTCTCTCTGTATAAACATGACCTTTTAACATATCATATCTCCTTACCAGCCCCCTACAAATAGCACTCAATACACTGAACATGTATCCCTACACAATATATCTTTATGTATCCATTCCACAGGTACATATGCATAATTTTCTATTCAAATGCCCTGATTGTGTTTGCTGTGACAGCTTCTCCCGTTCTGGCAGTATTTTCTCTTCTATTCGGCTGCTTTTCTGCACAATTCCTCCTCCACCACCCCCCCCCCCCCCCTCCCTCCCTCCTATTCCCCCTCCTCTTTTTATTGACCTCTTCCTCAAATCTTCCTTTTACATGTATCTCTCCCTCCATGCATCCGTGTGTGTTCCCCTCTCCCTTCCCTATCGCTTCCTTCTTTCAAGCTGTTTCCTCCCCCTACTAATGTACTCACTCTAAGACTCTATCCCTGAAAAGGGGGTAGTAAGGACGTCAGATCCAAGCTTTACATAGTTTTCACTTGCCTTTATGCCCTCCCTATGTTATCCGGCCTCCTTCCTGTCCCCCCCCCCCTTCTCTCCTCCTCTATTTACCTCCCACTCATTCGGAGGCTCTGTCCCTAATAAAAGGGGATATGAAGACATCACTTTCTGCATTCAGAAAAGTCCTCGCTCATTTTTACCCCCTCCCCATCTGCCCTTCCCCTCCCGATCTAACCCTACCCCCTACTCACTCAGAGGCTCTGTCCCTGATGAACGGGGCTGTGAAGACATCAGGCTCAGGCTTCACATACTCGTCACTCTCTTGCTCTCTCTCTCTACCCCCCCCCCCCACTCTCAGCCCTACCCCCCCCCCCTTCCTCCTCCATCCACCCCTACTCACTCGGAGGCTCTGTCCCTGATGAACGGGCTGTGAAGATATCAGACTCACGCTTCACAGTCTTCGCTCTCTCTCCTACTCCTACTCCTACTCCTACTCCCTCTCTCTCTCTCTCTCTCTTGCTCTCCCTCCCTCCCTCTCTCACTCCCTCTCTCTGTCTACCCCCACTCCCCCTCCCCCTCCCCCTTCCCCTCCCCCACCCCTCCTCCTCCTCCCACTCCTCCCTCATCCACCCCTACTCACTCAGAGGCTCTGTCCCTGATGAACGGGGCTGTGAAGACATCAGGCTCAGGCTTCACATACTCGTCACTCTCTTGCTCTCTCTCTCTACCCCCCCCCCCCACTCTCAGCCCTACCCCCCCCCCCCCTTCCTCCTCCATCCACCCCTACTCACTCGGAGGCTCTGTCCCTGATGAACGGGCTGTGAAGATATCAGACTCACGCTTCACAGTCTTCGCTCTCTCTCCTACTCCTACTCCTACTCCTACTCCCTCTCTCTCTCTCTCTCTCTCTCTTGCTCTCCCTCCCTCCCTCTCTCACTCTCTCTCTCTGTCTACCCCCACTCCCCCTCCCCCACCCCTCCTCCTCCTCGCACTCCTCCCCCATCCACCCCTACTCACTCAGAGGCTCTGTCCCTGATGAACGGGGCTGTGAAGACATCAGGCTCAGGCTTCACGTACTCCTCACTCAGCTCAAAGGGAGTCCACAGCTTGTCAATGCAGTTGAATACATTAACTGGCTCCTCCATGTTGTTTTCCTATGGAAACAATCATTAATAGTATTTTTTTTAAATAAAGTGTCAATTATCATTATCATTATCATTATTACTCATACCGTGCTTTTCCCCTAAGACCCAAAGGGCTTATAGTATAGTATTAATGACTGCTTTGAGAGAAATAGTTGTTTTATTACGCTCAAGGGAAGGTTAGAATTGTGCTATTCCCCGAGGCTTGCCGAGGGGAATAGCCCAATTGTAACCTTCCCGAGAGCGTATGAAAACAACTATTTCTCGAATATTAAAGCAGTCATTAATACTTTTATATGCCGAAAAAAAATAGACTAAAAAATGAAAAATTAAAAATATTTGTCATTTTTGTCGAAGTCGGGATTCGAACTCTTGCGTAAAACAAGAGGTGTACCGAAAACCAACGCTTAGCTGCCAAGTCTCCCGGATCCTGCGGGAGACTCCCGGATTTTGACCCAATATCCCGTTTTCCCGACCCCATGCAAAAATCTCCCGGATTTCCAGATTTTAAGTTGTATTATTTTCACAAACGACTGTTTCACAAGACTAGCATGTTGAGTTCGTACGTACGTATACAAACAGGTCAACACATGGCAATTCTGTAATATGAATTTTCCTGTTATCCAGTCGTCGAATATAAATTTACCGTGATATCGTACTTTATTTAACAGCGTAATAAATGAGAGTTACGCCGAACGACTGGCGGGCTAGTCTAACAAACCATTGGGAACATGTGATAATGTGAGTGGTGTTTGTGTGATAGCAATTCGCCTGCTTGCTCTGCCGGGCGGCTTCCTCGCCGGCCCCCGTAGCGTCCCGGTACGTTGGTGCCGGTTTCCAATCGGTCGCGTCAGAGCAGCCAGAAGTTGCACTGATACAACAAGCAGACTTTGTCTGCTGCGATCGGCCCAAAAAACTGCACATTTGAACATCAGTTTTTGGATTGATTTGGGGACTTTTGCGATGTGATTTTTAAGTGGATTATCATTTGATACCAACATGGCAGTGTTACTGCAGAGTGGATTTTGAAGCCGACTTTTTTTTTCTGATCTCCTTTGCCGTTGGGAACGCATCGATATAACTTGCATCTTCCGAAGGCGTAAGTCAACTTTGTCCAAAACAAGGCTGTATTTTGTTTGACTATTAAAATATCATCCAGGACAATGTCGAAGTCGAAATATTGAAGTGATTGATGTCAGTTCCAGAAGAGATGTGTCATTTTCATCTGTGCAATACTTTGTTGAAAAGTACCCTTGCATTTTGAACAGACAATCAGAGAATGGAGACCTGGACAAGCTTGAGCTGGAATTTGCACAATACCAGGTTGAAGACTTTTCAGGGGAACCAGAGATCCTGAACAAAAACTTGAGAATAGACAAGAAATGGTCTGCAATTTCAAAGATGGAGGATGGCAATGGCTCAAAGAAATACACACTTCTGAGCAAAGTGATGAAATCTTTGCTTGTGATACCACATTCCAATGCTTCATGTGAAAGAGTTTTTAGCATTGTTAGGAAGAACAAAACTGATTTCAGGGGATCAATGAATTTGAAAACACTTCAAGCACTCCTAACAGAGAAAATTGCCAACACAGATGTCCCATGCTACCAAAGGGAGTATAGCAAGGACCTCCTTAGCAAACTCAAGCAAGCAACCTACCAGTCACTTCAAGGAAAACCCTCAAGCACACCCCAGTCCTTGCCTTCCACAAGTACATCCCCCATTTCACAATAGAGGTAACAGGAGTTCATAGTCTGAAATATGATGTGAAGTTCATATGTTATCAATTGTATGCAAATAAAATGTGCCATATCAAAGCCTTCCATTTTGAGAAATCATTGAAAAAATGTGTTCTAAAAGGGTTTCAAAGAGGCTTAAAACCAAGAGCTTTTGGGGGGCCTGCCCCCTGCCCCCCCCCCCCCACCAGGGGCACTAAAAGGCCATTCTTGGTTCCCGCCAACATGAAGTCGTTCGATGCTGCTCTCTCAGAAATCTCCCTGATTACCCAAATCAAATGTTGGCAGCTCTGTAAGTTAGACCACTCGGCTATGGCCCGCCGTTAACATGCTTGGCAGTTTTCTCCAATATATACATTAAAATGGATTGAAACCGGCTTCGCGTGTGATGAATGCTTCGCAAAAGCTCCATATACGGACTCTTCTTTTACTTTTGCAATGCATATTGGCACGAACTTAGATCAAGATCTATCGGCAGATGTTGTTTTTTTGTTTTTGGAAGTTTATTTTCGTCTTCATGTCAACAATGCAAGATAAAATTGTCGGTAAGATCGATCGAGATTCAATTGTATTGAAATTACCGACCAATCCTTCGCACACATACGGCATCCTCCATCGCTCAAACCATTTTTTAACATGTAAACCTATGGGGTAACCATGGAGGCTGACCAACTGTTTTTAATAACCATGGTTATTAAAAATATTGAAATGTTTTATGCATGGTTACCGAGAATTTTACAGGAACAGTTGAAGTTTATGAATGCAATTCGACCAATCAGATGGCTGGATTTCTTAAGTGAGGTATATAATAAATGACAACAATAATAATAATATTTTGTTCTTATATAGCGTCTTCAAGACCGCAGGCTCTCTCAAAGCGCTTTACAGATATATACTATTACCCCAGTCATCGGATTCAGGCTTAAATGCGCACAATGTATACGCAGTCTCTCTACTCCCTGGGGAGCATTCCAGCCAGGCGTAATTTATACAAGCGTACACTTGCTTATCTACCGGTAACCACAATAACTTTCTCATCCTACCGGGTACCCATTTAACACCTGGGTGGAGAGTGGCAAATTACAAATTTACTGCAAAGCACTGGGGGTAGTCAGGGTGACATGGAAAGAAATTCAGAGCAACTTTTTGTCCCCCCTTATAGATTTAATATTTAAGAGTCTTAGGATATCATATCTAGTCTTAATACACCTAAATGTATAGCAATTCCAAATAATATTAAAATGGCATTATCTATATATGCAGAGGCTTATTGACTGCCTGGCGTTTGGTTGCATTTATCACAGTTTAAAGAGATTGTAAGTCAAAACTTGACTTTCTGAAATCAGCAATACCTTGGGATAATTAAGATTGACAGGAATTTCCTCTAAATTCAGTCATCTGGTGAACGTTAATTAACCTTCATTACAGTGAATCCATTCCATACATATCATCTGCATGCAATTTAAATTAATACTCATGATCTTTCCTTCTTTAAAATCTGATAATTTTCAAATATATATCTGAACTTGACAAAAGATAGAATCAATAGAAAAATGAGACAGACTATCCCTTTGAAAAGACGCAAAAATACAGACTGGTATAGAAGCAAGGCAGCTGGAAATAGCTAACTTTTCGGTTACTCATGAGAAGGCCTTAAAGCCCCTCTAAAAAGTAGGAAGCCCTAATTTCTTCAAAAATGTTATGGTAAAATTTTACTTAAATTGTTTCATAATGTGAAGGGGAAAAAAAGAAGAGAATACATAATTTGGGTTTTCTGTTGTATCCAGAAAACCCCAATTATGTATTCTTTCATCAATATTCATCTTCAAACACATGTGTTTTGAAAATGCTTGCAGAAATGTGTCTTTAATTACACCCTCTTTCACATTAGGATACAAGTTAAGTGAAATTTTGAGGCTCCAAACATTTTAGAGGGGATTTAACAGCTACATCTAGGTACGTACATACTGTCAATGGCAGTATAAATAGCCTTATTGCTGGCAGTAGGAGGTATGGTCAATCTATTATGGTTGAGGTTTGTAGATTGACTGCCAGACTAGGTATGATTGTAAAAAATGGTAATGATCAAAGAAATATCTTAATAATAATAATAATAATAATAATAATAGCCTAATAGTCCACTCCAAATTTTATTAAACCGAAACGGAAACTCTTTTTGCCCAATTGATCGTGAGCCCGGCAGCCACTGAGCAGCGCCAGATCGACGTTGCTCTATCCCTTATTGTTGAACGCCAAACAAGGTAGCAACAACTCCCATCTTTTAACGTCTTTTGGTATGACGCGGCCCGGGTTCGAACCCACGACCTCCCAGTTGTGAGGCGGACGCTCTACTGACTGAGCCAACACTCCGGTACACTCCGGGAATCTAACACTGAAGCCTCATTTACATAGGACATGGTTAATCACCTTGGAAAGCCATTATATGTGTAATGAAGGGCAAAAGCTGGTAGAAAAGATACATATAGTTGTACTTAAAACAAAGGTACCTAAAGCTATTTAATCATTTTTGTTGTGTGTGTTTCCATGGTACAGAAAACTTTCATTGGCTAGTTAGTTTCTGCTTCTACCATGCGATGTACACCAGTGCCTGTATTCAATTCGATAGTTGATTTGTGTCGGTATTTCATTTACCATTCATAGCTAAGTTGATTGCTCAAGTCTAGGCTTATTGAGATGGCATTTAAGTATTTTACTTTAGTATGCTAGAATACTTACTGACTGCCATTGCAACGTCACTTAGCCAATCTCAAATTACATGCAATAAACTTGTCGCATTGGGTGTAAGCTGATTTAATTGCGCGTAGCCTACAATGACTGTGTATGAAAACGACATACCAAGGGAGCTGGGAGCTGTCTTAAATTTAGGTAAAATAATTAGCCAAAAGCTGCAAATAAACATCAAAGGTGGCTATTTCTGACATATGCATTGAATCAAATACTGGCCCTGGGCTGTACATGTAGCAACCAGGACAATTTGGCTAAATCCAGACCCACCCCTAAAAGATACAAAATAAAAGAAAGAACTGAATAAATGAAAAAATAAATGAAAAATAATAAAATTAAATAATGGGCTTTTGCGAATAGATTACTGTACATACACATACTGTACCTGTACATACTCAAAATTATTAATAATTTTCATTGAAATTAATATGAAATCATACCTCGATGGGCATCTTGATCTTGAGTTCCTCAGCATAGCGAGTCATCAGGTCCCAGGGAGCATGAACCTTGACAAAGAACGTTCGACCGTCGTGGGATTCCTGCAGGAAAAACAGCCAACCCAAGAAAAATTAGGAACAATCCTGGTTTTAATTACTGCAGCAGGGCTTACAGACATAAGCAGAGCACACAGGGCCAATGACCCTTTATGATAACAAAAGGGAATTTAATTTTTTAAATACCAGTCATTATTTCATGAGGACATAATTGTATAATATGTAACGCCTGCTTTTATATCACTTTTTTTTAAATCACTTTCCTTTAAAAAACAGCAGCTAGAGAAGAGTACTGCTTGCTTATTGCTTGTTTACAGCCAAAAGGTTGTTAACTCTTGTGTCAAAGTATATGAGTTAACTCCCTTCTGGAACCAAACATACGATATATTCTGCCAGTAAAAATAATGAACCTCCAAAATAACAGGAGGGGGGGGGTGACTACTAAGTTATTCGCAAACTCTTTCTAAATCTTACAAGGGGTACATGTTCAATGGACTTCACAGGTTTATATACAGGTATCATTAGCAGTATTCTAAGCAGGCTATATACTGAACATATACCAGCACAGGTATTTGTAAGAATATGCATCATTCTGTCATACATTGTACATATATACACATACATGTAGCCTCAATCCCAAATTGAACATTCTTTCATACATGTATAAATATAATAACTATCCCATACAGTACCACAGCCCTGTATATGGAAAGCCATGTGAGCAAAAAAAAAAGATATATGCAGAATTATATATTGTACCTCTATCATTCCCCGTTCTGTATACTGTATAAAAATGATTTCATGTAATAAAATCTACCAATACATATCTATACATGTATAAATATAATAATTATCCCATACAGTACTACAGCCCTGTATATGGAAAGCCATGTGAGCCAAAAAAAAGATATATGCAAAATTATATATTGTACCTCTATCATTCCCGTTCTGTATGTATAAAAATGATTTCATGTAATAAAATCTACCAAGAATGGCATAAAAGTCTGAAATAAAGTGAAAAATTGGGAGAATAAAACTGATTTCATGTAATAAACTCTACCAAGAATAGCATAAAAGTCTGAAATAAAGTGAAAACTTAGGGAGAATAAAGCTGATTTCATGTAATAAAATCTACCAAGAATTGCATAAAATCTCAAATAAAATGAATAAACCACAATAATAACAAGTTTTGAGGAATATGATAATTAATACCCATCACTATCTATTGGATTAACATTGCATTAATATTCCATTTTACAAATATATTTGCAAAACCTTTGAAACAGCTATGATTTTATAAATTAGCACAACATTGTATAAATTTATTTTCTTTTTCTGTACAACAGCGTTCTATTAAGAGAATTGTTAATGTCAACCAGGCCTTTGTTTTATCGAATCCATTATCTTAATATTATTATTTTATGCTTAAAAAAGCATATATTATTTTGTCTTCAATACCTGTGGGAAAAAAAAATCATACAAGTGTACAAATTGATGACATTTGTAAATGTAATGTACTAGTGGTAACCGGAAGTGGCATCACTTCATATTCAAAGGGACGGTAATGCATGATCGTTATCAAAGTTGAAAATGACCCCCAATTTCACAAACCTTCGAAAATATTTACAACAAAATGCGACCCCCTTCTATGTAAAAACAGGTACAAAAATGAGCTGCAATTATTACTCTTTTTGAGGGGCCTTTTTAAGGAAACATTAACAAAACTGTCCTATTTTTGCACCCCAAAATACCTTGTTCACATGTTTGTGAGCATCTTGAAAATATGACCCCTTTTTGGTGACACTTCTTTCTCTTAAAAAGAAAGAAAAAAATCAAGTCAGCAAACTACCATGCATATGAATATGAAGTGAAACCACCAGGAGGTTCGTCACTTTGGACTGTTCACATAATTTTATAAAAATATTAAAATTTTGGATGTTTTGATGAATAAAAATATCGTTGCTATGAGAGTTTTAAAAAATGTATATGTGAATTAAAGCTGTTAATATGTTAAAGTGTTAGTTTTCTGTTGAAATAAACACAGCAATCCTTTGATAAATATGTTGTTAGCATTGAAGCTGTAAAGTAGTTAAATTGCTATTTTTAAGGCATTTTTTTAAAAACTTAAATTAAAATATGACTTTTGCCATGAAAGCACGAATTGTGTAAGATGATTACCAACCCATAGAGTCAGCATTCTTAGAAATGGTATCATTAAAAAATGACAATTTATGATACTGTGCAAGTTTGGCTTTATCTGCTTCATAATTGCCTTAGTGTGAGTAAAGTGTGGTGTAGTGGTTCATTTCTTTGTCTTTCATAAGGAGATCAGGGGTTCAATACCACCTTGACAGAAATTGCCTGATTAAAGCATTTCCCCTTCAACCACCACACATAGAGAGCACTTATTTTGGCCGCTGTTTTGTTTTGTTTTTCTATGTCTTTTTGACCCATATACTTCACCATACATTGAGAGGACTTATTTGGGCTGCTGTTTTGGTTTTGTTTTTCCTTTGTCAGTTTGACCCATATACTTCATCATACATCTATACTCACAGGGTCATCTTCCTTCGGCTCCGGCCCCTGCATGCAGACGTAACCACGACAACCAATACACATCAAAGAAGGGGGCGTGGCACATGGAATGTTGAAGTTAATAAAGCACACATGTTGTCAATTTCGTGTGTGTTTTAGAATGCAACGGCAATCAAGCAAGGTGGATGGAAAGAGAGATCGGGATGGGTAAGATTTTAGGAAGGGGGTAAGATTTTAGGAAGGGGGTAAAAATTTTGTTGGGGGGGGGGTAAGAAGTTGGGGAGGGGCAGAGAAGGGGTGCAGTATTGGTAGTGGTAGAGGAGATGACAAGGGTGCCACATGAGGTGAATGATGAAGATGAAAGAGGGATGGTTCAAGAATAAGTAGGTTTAGAGAAATAAAGGATGAAAGGCAAGAACAAAAGGTTGAGAATCAAACATGGATAAAGATTAAGATTTCACTTTCTAAAATGCCATCATGCAATATTTAGGGGTTAACAAAACAAACTAATATCAAGACAATTTCAGCAAAAGTTCAAGCAAAAGAAACGAAGAGTTCAAGAAGTGGAAGAAGAAAACGATAACATTCTTTTCTTTTTCAAATTTATAAATACAGAGAAAAACGCTAGAAATTAAAGGAAGATATTTGAGGCCTATTAAAACCAAAGAATAGAATCATTTGTGAACTGAGAGTTTGAGAAAAGAAAATTTAGGTAAAAATTTAAACTAATTGAAAAGATCCACTTCTTGATTAAATGCAAAAGTAATTCAACTAATCCAAACTAAAAAGAGCTTAATAAAAAGGCAATGCAACCAAAAGTACAATGCTAGTCTACTGTATATCTAACTATTCTATTTCAAAAGCAAAATAAACATACACTTAATCAAAATAAGCAATGCAAATGATCATCCATGCATGTACAGGTTCTGTGCCCTAAATATCTGAAACATGCTTTTAATAGACATGCTTAAAACATAAAACTTTAATTTTCCTCAACATAGCTGTTTTAACTCTTCCCATTTTCTTTTCATTTGTAATTATTCATTTGTCACAATATATGACATCACGCCAATCCATTTCCTCTTATTCTCTATCACATGGTCATAATGAAAGCTATCTGTATTTAAGTATTTTATAGTTAAAGGTCACTAGTAAAGTTGCAATTAATAAGCAGGAAATTGTGAAATGATATTCTTCAGTTTTTAAAAAATCATGCTTTTCATGCTGTTAACATTCAAATTATATTTTATGCTATAAATTAGGAATAAATTATTGATTCAAAATATCATCTAAACTTTTAATGAATAACACTTTATGTATACAGGGAAAAACAAAGTTAGTCATGAGCATGACATTTGAAATTAGAATAAAGTTACAAGTTGATTACATTTTGGGAAGAACACTCTTTGCCGTCATAGCCAAATTCAAACTCAACATTGAACTTCATTATTTTTATAAAATTGATGATTAAACGCACCTGACATACAAAGTTTTTCATGTGAGCACGGATAAAGAAATTAAGGTACTGCATCTTAAAGCTTATAATCAATAGTCCACTCAATTATATGAGAATTAAAGACAGATCAAATTCACAGCAGCTATAGTTAACTCTACTTAGACACATTTTGAGGGAAAGTTCCTTCATTAGAAATCTCAAACTCGAACTCACACTCACACTCAAATCCCTACTCAAACTCAATTGCCAGATGAAAATTATAAGACAAAAAATTGAAACAAAATAAGGGATAGATCAAGCTAAACAAATGCACCAACTCATACAGAGCCTAATATCTGAAGAAAATTTGAGAAATATGATCTTTGCTGAGTTTGCTCAAGAAGCTCACACTCACACTCAAACTCAATCTCAAAATGTAAGCTCGAAATGAGCAACAAGAACATTACGATCTTTGCAGAGTTTGCTCAAGAAGCAGAGTTAGCAGACACTCACACTCAAAATCACACTCAAAATTTAAGTTCAAAATGAGGAAACAAGGACATTACCTCTGAGTTCTCATACTCGAGCTGAAGTCCTTCGTCAATGAGATTGGCCTCAAAGTTCTGCCTCTTCTTCACCCTCTTCTCCTCTCTCTCTTCACTCTCCTGCTTGCGGTAGGCCAGGACAAAGTCGATACGTCGCTTGCCATCCTTGAAGAAGAGGTCGTTGACCTTGTTATCGTCCTTCTTGGCCGGGGACTGGAAGGAGAAAGATGATAACAATAATCATTAATTAATGATAATTAGTGATATTAATAATAATAATAATGTGGTCTTATCAACCCATGTTAGCCACATCTTAATTTATATCCCTCCTTCTGTGAGTCCTTTCTTTTCTATGGGTGCTATTATCATAACGATAATAATAATAATAACAATCTGGATTTATATAGCCCTTAATACGGATACCATCTCTAAGCACTTTACAGCTATTATTACCCCGGTCATCAGATTCATTCAAGCACAATTTGCACCATTTCCACTCCCTGAGGAGTATTCCTACCATAAGGTCACTGTGAGGGCATATGGCAATTACTAACACAAATGCTCTGGTTACCCTCTGGGTATTGAGTGGTAAATGTAGATTAATGCCAATATTTTCCAGTATTTTTTGTTCAAATACAGTGAAACCAGTCTATAAAGACCACCCAAGGGAGAAAAAAAAATGGTTTTTGTAGACAGGTGGTCTCTCTATACAGGTGGTCACTAAAGCAGGTCCGACTGTAGTTCCTTCTGGGCCTTGTTTTCAATTACAAGATTGAGCACGCAATCTTTACTCTTTTAATTTTTATAAAATCCAATATAAAGCATTACATTTTTATTTTTTATTCACCGCATACATGTTTCTTGCAAGGGGATCAAGAGGTGAAGAAACAGAATAAGAAGATAATGAGAAAAAAGTGTTGTCATGGAAATGGTTACAAGTAAAGGTATCACATAATGCAAATAGTAGAAATTAACAAACACACAGCTAGATCTAAAATGTACATATAGATTGTGAGCGTTGAAAGGTCAGGGAAATAAGGACATACAAACAAATTTGTTATTCAATTGATTGTTATCACAAACTTCACAGAATCAAGACCTTCATAATGAATATTGCCCCCATCCATACAATGATTGGTTTTGGGTATGTTTAATCTTAAAAATATTGCTCATGCAGGATTTCATGCTTGATAAATGTGTCGACATTTTGTACATTTAATTAGGGTCTGTTTGGAGCCAGAAGGGCATTAACTCGTATACTTTTAACACAGAATTAATGCTCGTTTGGCCCTGAACAGACAAAATATACCGGTATTAACAAAATACATTTAGATGATGCATAAAGAAGAGGAAAATATAGAATGTTGTGCACGGAATTACATATTCGGTTAACAACTCAATTATTCATACCCCTTGTTAATTTAATGTGTTTTGTTTTGTGTTTCAAGAATGGAAATTATGGCCTTTGTATTTCAAGAAACATAAATGGGACAAATCAGTTTTTCAAATACTTCAAAGATTACAAAACTTGGTAAGGGTATGAATAATTTAGTTGTTATTATGAACAGGCCCGTAGCCACGATTTCCAAGATCGGTTGAACTTTTTACACCCCTCCCCAGGACGTTGATCAATTACATGTATGTGCCCCCCCCCCCCCCCAAACATCAAACTCTGGCTACAGCCCTGATTATGTACATGTCGCTCAACAGGTTTTATAGGTATTATCGAGTCCTATCTATTTCCGCACATTTCTGGAGCATTTTCGTCTTCATCTTCTTTGCAACGACATGCAGTTAGCAGATATTTATTTGACAAATTCACAACAAACACAACATAAAGAGCAAAATGTCTTGCATGAGAAAAGCATAATAGATGGCCTGCAATGCACTGTATAATGTCTTGTGATTGAAGCTTGAAGAAGTAATATCAAAAGAAAATATGGTCCCCGAAAATAATTAATTTGAATAATGTATCATGAAGGTAATCTTCAATCGAATGGACTCGGAGAACGGCCAAATGTTTTTAATCACAAATTTACTGAATGTCAGTTTTCCTGAAACAATGAAAATTTCATTTTTATTCAGTTTATACAAAATTAAAGTAACAGTAAGATTAAATGTACATGTAGAAGAGGGTGCAGCATGCAAAGTTAAGAAAGTCAGGAAACATCACAAGCAATAGTACAACATTGATGCAGCAATAATTAAAGGATTAAGGACATCAAACAATGGCAATTTCGTGAAAGAAAGAAAAAAAAATTCCAAAGGCACATGTAGAGTAATTAAAGCAGTAAGAAAATACAATCTTTTAACTTTTAGTGAAAAAGGGACTCTTTTTCTTTCCACAGAAGCCTTCAATCGAGTGAAAGTAAAAAGCTCACACATCAAATCTGTGTCATTTGGGGAATGCCATCAATTTGCAAATAATTAATTGATTAATTACATATTCACAATTAATACCGACAAAATACTGCATTAGATCTGACAGACAGGATGGATATTATCAAAAGGTTATTACACTGCAAATAGGCACAAGTATGGACACTGCAATCGGTGTCTGCTCAGAACCAGAAAGGCATTCAGTCATACACTATGACATTGAGTTAACGCCCCTCTGGCTCCTAACACAAACAATTCATTACCTCTGGAAGTTCATCATCATCCGTTTGTGCGAGCAAATTCGGATAAAGGTGCTAAACGAAATAAAAATAAATGAGAGAAGCAAATAAGCATTTTTAGCTTCCCAGCAAATAAGCACAAGTATTGTACACTGCTGCGACCCAGAAGGTGTTCACACTTCACACAGACACTTTGGCATTTGTATTAGGTTCATGGGTTAACGCCCTTCCTCCTCTAAACAAACGATTTATTACCTCAGGATCCTCTGGTTGCGCTACCAAATTTTGATAATGATGCTAAATGAAATAAAAATACATACAAGATGGAAAAAAGCATTAGCTTTAATGAAATGCTACTTGATTCTGAATGAATGTATATTTGTTTTGAAGTATTCTACAAGCTACATGCTTTTTGTTAAGTTCCTTTTTTACATGTACTTATGAAATTATTTACCGGTTGTGTAAATGCAGTGTAGATGTCTTTATTGTTCACGAATATCAATTTTGTAAATATGCTATGTTTTGTTTAATAATGTATTGTTTTTTTTTCATGTGAAATAAAAGAAACTAAACTCAAAAAAGAAAGAAGAAAAAAAGGAGTAAATGGATCGGTTTAAAAGCTGTTGTTGTTTTGAAATTAATTATGAAAATATTGTTAAAATTCTGCTATGCTACTTTGAATGATAAAATAAAAGAATTTGAGATTGCAATTACTTGCTATTTCAAATTTACAGGCAGCATGGAGCTGTGACCAAAACATGTTTAAACCAGAACGTCAATGACGTGGCGCTCATCCGCATCTCGCAACAACAAATATCGTAAATTTTATGTGGTACACTTTTGAACTGGTCAAAAAATAAAAATTTGATGCCCTGGAAGGGACATTTGCAAATAATCATCATAATATTTGGCACAAAACTTTAAAAATGAAATGGAGAAGAAGCATTTTTGGGGTATTTTGGGAATAAATAACCATAATTAATCGATGGAGCAAAATCTCAAAATTCTGTGTAGATTTTTTAGTAAACCAAATTTAGCTCTACCAGATAAAGCAAACCAAATCAAAATCGGTCAAGAAATGAAGGAGAAGAAGCAAATTTTTGTTTTTTCTGGAATAAATTTGCATAAATTACCATAATAAATAAATAGAGTAAAAATTCAAAATTCTGCATAGAGGTATAGTGTACCAAAGTTAGTTCTACCAGATAAAGCAAACCAAATCAAAATTGGTCGAAATACAAAGGAGAAGAAGCATTTTTTGTGATTTTTTAAATAATTTTTGGAATGAATTTGCATAAAGTACCATAAATAATCAATGGAGCAAAATCTCAAAATTCTGTGTAGAATTTTAATGTTCCAAATTTAGCTCTACCAGATAAGGCAAACCAAATCAAAATCGGTCAAGAAATGAGGGAGAAGAAGCAATTTTTGTTATTTTTGGAATAAATTTGCATAAATTACCATAATTAATTAATGGAGAACAATTTCAAAATTCTGTGTACAAATTTAGTGTACCAAAGTTAGCTCTACGATATAAAGCGAACCAAATCAAATTCGGTCGAAATATGAAGGAAAAGAAGCATTTTTTGTGATTTTTAAATTATTTTTGGAATTATTTTGCATAAATCACCATAATTAATCAATGTAGCAAAATCTCAAAATTCTGTGTAGAAGTTTAGTGTACCAAAGTTAGCTCTACCAGTTAAAGCAAACCAAATCGGGCCCTTCAGGCCAGATGAGCTAAAAATCAAACTTGCTCAGTTTTTATAAAACACAAAAAAGAGTAAATTTTATGTGAAACTGACTCAAAAATTAAAAGTACAGCTATGCTACTTTGAATGATAAAATAAAAGAATTTTTTGAGATTGCAATTACTTGCAATTTCAAATTTACAGGCAGCATGGTGATTTGGATAAAGATGCTGAATGAAATAAAAATAAATGAGAGATGGAAATAAGCAGTTTTAGCTTCCCAGCAAATAAGCACAAGTATTGCACACTGCTGCGACCCAGAAGGTGTTAACACAATCACATTGACATTGATTTAGTAAAGTAAGTTAACGCCCTTCAGCTTCCAAACGAACAATTTATTATACCTCTTGATCCTCTGGTTGTGCTACCAAATTTTGATAATGATGCTAAATGAAATAAAAATACATACGAGATGGAAAATAAGCATTAGCTTTAATAAAATGCTACTTGATTCTGAATGAATGAACATTTGTTTTTAAGTATTCTACAAGCTACATGCTTTTTATTAAGTTCCTTTTTTTTTTCACATGTAATTATGAAATTGTTTACCGGTTGTGTAAATGCAGTGTAGATGTCTTTATTGCTCACGAATATCAATTTTGTAAATATGCTATGTTTTGTTTAATAATGTATTAGGGTTTTTTTCATGTGAAATAAAAGAAAATAAAAACTCAAAAAATAAAGAAGAAAAAAAGGAGTTAATGGATCAGTTTAAAAGCTGTTGTTGTTGTTTTGAAATTAATTATGAAAATATTGTTAAAATTCTGCTATGCTACTTTGAATGATAAAATAAAAGAATTTGAGATTGCAATTTCAAATTTACAGGCAGCATGGTGCTGTGACC